TATATGTATATTCAGAAGGAGGTTTTTGTGGAGATTATAGTAAATTAATACTTGAATTTATGAGTCCAATAAAGTTAAACACTCATGAAAAACAACTTTACTTATCTTGGAAGTCTGATCAGCCCTAATGCATTGGTGTCTGATGAAATCTCAACACGGATTCAAAAAGCTCGTTTAGTTTTTCCCAAATTACGTCACCCATGAACTCCGCCTGTAGCTCCTCCAGGGGCTACTGCCGGTCCCAAGCCCGGGTAAAGGAGGAGGGTTGGGCATGGGGTTAGCGACCCCATCCCGTAGAAAATCAACTCGCTAAAAAAACGCTAACCAGAAAAAATCATTCAAACTCTGCCCTGGGAGTAGAAGGAAAAATGACGTCTCATGATGAAAGCCGAGTTCATTCGGAAGTCATGAGGCCGATGCACCTTCTTACAACCAGAGCGACAATTTTTATAGGTACATGGAATGTCCGGACAATGTGGGAGACCGGCAGAGTCTTCCAAATTTCTGCAGAAATGAGAAAATACAACCTGGAGGTTCTTGGAATCAGCGAAACACATTGGACGCAGGTTGGACAACAACGACTGTCTTCAGGGGAACTTCTGTTATACTCCGGTCATGAAGAAGAAAATGCCCCACATACACAAGGAGTGGCACTGATGCTGTCTAGAAAAGCACAAAATGCACTTATAGGATGGGAATCTCATGGACCGAGGATCATCAAAGCCTCCTTCAGAACAAAGAGAGAGGGCATTACAATGAACATCATCCAATGCTATGCGCCTACCAATGACTACGATGAAGACGCTAAAGACCAATTCTACGATAGGCTGCAGTCAATCTTTGAGAAGTGCCCAACCAAGGACCTGACCATTCTAATGGGAGATTTCAATGCCAAGGTTGGAAAGGACAACACTGGATACGAAGACGTCATGGGACAACATGGACTGGGAGGAAGGAACGAAAACGGTGAGAGATTTGCAAACCTATGTGCCTTCAATAAACTGGTCATAGGTGGCACCATATTCCCACACAAAAACATACACAAAGCCTCTTGGATTTCACCGGATCACACTACACAGAATCAAATCGACCATGTCTGCATCAACAAAAAGTTCAGGAGGACGATGGAGGATGTGAGAACCAGGAGAGGAGCTGATATAGCATCCGATCATCATTTGCTGGTCGCCAAGATGAAACTAAAACTCAAGAAGCACTGGACAATGGCGCGGACAACATCACAAAAGTTTAACACGGCCTTTCTTCGAGATGCTGACAAACTCAACGAATTTAACATAGCCCTCAGCAACAGGTTCGAGGCCTTTCATGATCTACTCAATGGAGAGGGGACTATCATGGAGAGCAGCTGGAAAGGTATCAAGGAGGCAATCGTTTCAACATGTCAGGAGGTTCTGGGCCAAAAGAAGCACCATCACAAGGAATGGATCACTGTTGGTACACTGGATAAAATTGAAGCAAGGAGGAACAAGAAGGTAGCAATCAATATCAGCCGAACAAGAGCGCAAAAAGCCAAGGCACAAGCCGAATACACAGAGGCAAACAAGCAAGTGAAGAGGAGCATCAGAACCGACAAACGTAAATATGTGGAAGATTTAGCGGTGACAGCGGTAAAGGCTGCAAGAGAGGGAAACATGAGACAACTGTATGATACAACAAAGAAACTTGCTGGAAATTACCGTCAACCAGAAAGACCAGTGAAAAACAAGGAAGGCAAAGTAATCAACGATATTGAAGAACAACGAAACAGGTGGGTAGAACACTTCAAGGAACTCTTGAATCGACCAGCTCCACTGAACCCACCCAACATCGAAGCAGCACCCACAGACCTCCCAATCGATATTGGCCCACCAACAATTGAAGAGATCAGCATGGCCATTAGACAAATCAAGAGTGGCAAAGCAGCGGGACCAGACAACATCCCGGCAGAGGCACTGAAAGCAAATGTAACAGCAACTGCCAAGATACTCTACATCCTCTTCGGTAAGATTTGGGACGAAGAACAAGTACCAACAGACTGGAAAAAAGGACTTCTCATCAAGATACCAAAGAAAGGTGATCTTAGCAAGTGCGACAACTACAGAGGCATCACTCTCCTCTCAATACCAGGAAAAGTCTTCAACAGAGTATTGTTAAACAGGATGAAGGATTCCGTGGACGCTCAACTTCGAGATCAACAAGCTGGATTTCGTAAGGATAGATCGTGCACAGATCAAATCGCAACTCTACGTATCATTGTGGAACAATCAATCGAATGGAATTCATCACTGTACATCAACTTCATCGACTACGAGAAGGCATTTGATAGCGTGGACAGGACGACACTGTGGAAGCTTCTTCGACACTACGGTGTGCCTGAGAAGATAGTAAATATCATACGGAACTCCTATGATGGACTAAACTGCCAAATCGTCCACGGAGGACAACTCACCGACTCGTTCGAGGTAAAGACCGGTGTTAGGCAAGGTTGCCTGCTCTCACCCTTTCTCTTTCTCCTGGTGATCGACTGGATTATGAAGACGCCAACATCTGGAGGAATGCACGGGATACAGTGGACAGGCAGGATGCAGCTTGACGATTTAGACTTCGCGGATGATCTGGCTCTTCTATCACAAACGCAACAACAAATGCAGGAGAAAACGACCAGTGTAGCAGCAGCCTCAGCAGCAGTAGGTCTCAATATAAACAAAGGGAAAAGCAAGACTCTCCGATACAATACAATATGCACCAATCCAATTACACTTGACGGAGAAGCTTTGGGGGATGTGGAAATCTTTACATATCTGGGCAGCATCATTGATGAACACGGTGGATCAGATGCAGATGTGAGGGCGAGGATCGGCAAAGCAAGAGCAGCATACCTACAGCTGAAAAACATCTGGAGCTCAAAACAATTGTCAACCAACACCAAGGTTAGAATTTTCAATACAAATGTCAAGACAGTTCTTCTGTATGGGGCAGAGACGTGGAGAACTACGAAAGCCATTATCCAGAAGATACAAGTGTTTATTAACAGCTGTCTACGCAAGATACTTCGGATCCGATGGCCAGACACTAACAGCAACAAACTACTGTGTGAGAGAACAAACCAGATTCCATACAGCGGAGGAAGAAATCAGGAAGAAGCGCTGGGAGTGGATTGGGCACACTTTGAGGAAATCACCCAATTGTGTCACAAGACAAGCCCTCACATGGAATCCTGAAGGTCGAAGGAGAAGAGGAAGACCAAAGAACACATTACGCCGAGAAATAGAGACAGACATGAGAAGAATGAACAAGAACTGGAAAGAACTAGAAAAGAAGGCCCAGGACGGAGTGGGTTGGAGAAAGCTGGTCGGCGGCCTATGCTCCATTGGGAGTAACAGGCGAAAGTAAGTAAGTAAGTAACGTCACCCATGGCGAGGACGAGATGTCCGTCTATCAATTAAGGGATGAGTATACTGCGTAGCAGTTCGCTTCGATCTACTTAACGGCTGTGAAACATGGCCATTAAGAGTAGAAGATACTTACTTACTTACGCCTGTTACCCCTCGTCGAGGAGCATAGGCCGCTCACCAGAAGAGTAGAAGATACTCGTAGGTTACTAGTATTTGACCACAGATGCCTTCGAATTATTGCTCGCATCTGCTGGGATCACCGAGTTAGTAATAGTGAGGTTGGACGCAGGGTATTAGGGAACGATGGTAAATCAGTTGATGAGGTGATGAATCTTCATCGACTGAGATGGTTGGGCCACGTGTTACGTATGCCTGAACACCGATTTATTATTATTATTATTATTTATTATTATTATTAGCTTGATTCAATATTATATTATTTGGTACAAAATCGAATTCTCAGCTTAAAGTATTTCAACATGTTTACGTTTCTTATTTCTTCGTTGCTCCTGATGATAAACATTCAGTGATCGCCAGTTGGATGTCAGCATTTCAGTCAATCGACATATGAATAATGTATATTCTTTTTGCTGCATGTTCCCAGCAAACACGACATCTCTGATTAGGCCTTTTGTAACCTTTACAGCGAAAGGTTGTACAGTTTTCAGAAACGCACCGGAATAGGTTGTGTGCTTAATAGCCATAATTATGTATTAAAACAAACAATATTAGATAACTTGTTGAAATATATAGATGACAGGAACAGGTAGCCCAGATGTTTAAGCAGGCCGCCCAACAACCGAGTACCATGACGCGCAATGTTGACGAGTGTAGGGGATGGTTGGAAGAGAGTTAGGGGCGGCCAAACCAAAACGTGGCATCAGTCCTTGAAATAACTAACTTCTCGTCTGAGCCATGTTGGCAGATGCAGACTACCTGGTTGGGGTCCACGCGACTATAGTAACCAATGGTTGTAGACTGTGGGTAACATGACTCAGAATGGGTCACAATGGCGTAGATGTATACACTCCTTATCTTCCTTTAAACTGTGAGATTAAAATTGCTTCATATCTGTCTTTCTTTCTTCCTATACTATATCCTTATATACAACCTTTCTTTATATATTACCACCACTAAATTAACTACTTCTATGAATCCGGTGTTCATCTTATTGTGCTAACAACGTATGGCAACTTGGAGCGATGCATATGTGTGCCTGGTCCTACGTTGTAGCTGACTGACTGACTGCATCCACGATCACGCTTACGAGATTGTAACCCAGAACTTTCGGTTTCGCGTATGAGCGCATAAGCTCTAAACTACTGTCTCCTGCGAGCGGGATCATGGATGCTCACTGCTCGGGAGTCCTATATCTTCACCATATTCAATCCATTAAAGCTAAACCATCATGAAAAACTTAGAAACACTAAATGGCCGTTTCATTCTAATATATGACTCCTCTTATGCAATGTGCATCTACGATCCCACCCACGAGATTCGAACCCAGAACCTTCGATTTCGCGCACTAACACTTAAGCTCTGAACTAATGTATCACCATATTCAATAAATAAATTCTATATAAGTCTTTAAAAAGTCAATCAACGAATGTTTTTCATGTTTATTTGTTTATCTTCAAGAAAATAACTAAATAGTTTACAATTGAATTCAAGTATATTCATTGAATCTAATCTAAATCATCATGTATTTTTGTTGTTTTTTTTGTTTCTCCATTCTTTTTTTTTGGATGGGGGAGGGGACGAAATTGTAAAAAATTGTTTCATTTCATTATATTGTATCATTAATTCCGATAGAAACTGATTCAATAATTGATTACGTTCAATACATTGATTATTTATCAATTTTAATTTAATATTGATAAAATAATTATAAAGATCTATTGATGATTGAATTAATTTCTTTTCTATATTTTCATTGTTTATTATCATATCTAAACAACAACAAAAAGGAAAGAAATATGAATGAATAATGGATATCAATTAAAAAAAAATGAAATATTGTGCATAGTAACTAATTAAACTCTCATCATTATACTACTACTTAGAGTTGATTGGATGCAGTCCCATGGTAGACGGTGACCAACAATAGTTTCATACGCCACTTGTCCATTCAGGGTACTGGAGCTTATAAGCACTATTCGTTTGAAATGAGGGTTTACCGACTCTCCTAGGTGGACTCACTGTGTCCACCAACCCGGTTAAAGCGCCGAACATTCACTTTTTGTCCTTTTAATTTCGTATACAACTGTAATTCCGTGAGAAGGCAGTGAGTAGAACTTCCCTGACAGAGGCTGTATACTCGTAGCTGTGTGAGAGCATTTCGAGAGAGAGAGAGAGAGAGAGGGCCATCTTCACTCTCGGCTACGAGAACGACATTTACAGCCCGAAGAGATCAATAATAACATCTCTGGTAGTATGAATTAGTGATATGATCAGAATATCATTAGAAGTATCAGTTATCTAAAGATTTTTGTGGTTATAAACTAACTAAAATCCTTAACTCATTATATCTGACCTCCAACCATTCAACGCAGTAAATCAATTTGGGAATATTATGTAGATAAAATAAACTAGAACATTTGATTATCGAAATTATGATCAAATCCGATATTTTGTTATAAATTAAAATAAAACTCCACTAATAATCGAGTTACAATAACAATCTTAACCCATGAATCAAACTGTGTATATTGTTCACTGTCCTACAGTAAGATTAATCTATCTATGATGATCACTAAAGTACCTTAAAGTCATCACTTTCACTTTCTTGTTACTGATGATTTACGAAATTTGGCTTCTTTGTTTGTTTTTACCAAACATCAACATAATCAATAGAAAGTTTAAAAAATTCAAGGAGATTTTTAAGATTTCTTCTGAAGTGATTCAATGTATCAATCAATGTCATATCTCTTCTTCATTTTATTTATTTACATTAAAAAGTATAGTCAACTTTACTGACAATTTATATATCAGCAAAGATGGATAGTGGCTAGCAGTGGAATCTAGGACGCGCGTTTCCTTCTATTTGGGACTCTTCAGCTGGATTCCCCTTCACTTCAGAGTTGATGTTCACTCTGGGACTTGAAACAAGTACCTTTCACTGATCAATTGCAATCCTACACATCAATGAGAAGACTCAAACAATAACAAGTGAATTTGACAATTTATTTCTTTTTATATATAGTTGAAATCATGAGTCAATTGAATCTAGACCACCATTGGAAACCTGGAAGCACTGGAAGGCCGTTTCGTCATATTTTGGGACTTTTCAGCAGTGCGCATCCACGATCCCACCTCAAAAGACTCGAACTTCAAGACCTGCCAGTCTTGCGCCAGAGCACTTAACTGATAGACCACTGAGCCGGCATCCAACGATGTTAATGTCAAACTTCAACCAATCCACGAAGTTTGAGCAACCGTTCACCAATTGTCTTCAGTGAATTGATATCTCAGGACAGATGTGAGGAGTCTCATAATAGGACGAAACTGCCGTCCAGTGCTTCCAGGTTTTCCATGGTGGTCTAGCTTCAATTGACTCATGATTTCAACTATGAAAATACTAAATCTTCACAAAACCCCTTCTAATAATTAAAATAACAATCCCTGAAATATTCATTATCTTAATCAATGAACTACTTTAACAAATAAACAAAATAGAAATAAAAAATTTTTTAATTTTGTTTAAATAACATGGATTCAAAATTTTCAATTTTCAATTAATCAAACCTGTTATTGATTGATATTGATTATTGAATATTGATTTAAATCTTAATATTTTTTCCCAATCTGAACATATAGTTTGTATTGATTGTTCTTGTTTTGTAATACCCTAGAAAAAAATATAGATATATTTAAAAAGAATTTTCAATAATCAATAAATTGTAATGTGCCGAAAGGTAGAAAAAGAAAAAAAAAGAGAGAAAGAAGGAAAAAGGGGGGATTTACTTAAGTTCAACATACCTTAGTAACTATAATAACCTTCAGGGATACATAGATACTAAGCATAAAAAATATTAGTTCACTTTTATTTAGATATCTAAATTGATTGGCAGGAACGTTCCATATAATGCTTAATCCTACTGCTCTAAAGGAAGACCTTACTATACATCCTACTTGGACTATCTATCTTAGTCACCTAGTCTGATATTATTTGCAATTCACACTATTACATTACAAATTAAACTCTTTCCTTTGTCATTATAAAGATCATACATTCTTCATCATTATGAATGCACACATACACAAACACAGAGAAATTTACATACATGTCTTTTATGAATCACCTTGACTTAAATGACATGATATTGACTTGTTCAGACCTGTTTTTTGATTGATCTCACCTAATATTCGAATGTTGTTCCGTTATACTATTTAAACTTGTATTAATTTGATTTCGGTAATTTATTCTCTGAAGAAGTGGCCTGCACTCAGTTACGAAACCTCAGAAAATTTCATTTTTCTGCTCATTGGGATACTACAAATATATTACTCTTTATTTATAACAATCTACCCAATGCTTAATTTATTCAAAATTATCAAATCGAAACTTGTTAATGATACCTAATTAGATATCTATAGTTTTTAAATTACTGTTTTATATATGAATCCCAATTAATAATTAATTAGCATCAACTGTTGGAGTGAGATGTGTTAGTAGGTTCAGACTATAGTTTGTGTGATTATTGTAGTCAATGGTCAGAGACATACATAGTGTATATAAACTAACTTTGGAGTTAAGCATCTTTTCCATGTTTCTCTCCTTTTCTCTCGCATTCAAGTTGTAAGCATGGGGTTATTAAAAGAGCTTAGGAAACCGATTCAAGCGTTCAGTCAGAAGATTCATCATTATCAATACTTTTTTTTGATAAGTGACATATTCTTTCCTATCGGTAAATATATGTGCAAATGCGTGTATATACATAAACGCATATAGTATATACATGTTCACCATTGGTCCCCAGAAGTCTAATATGAGATCATGATTTAGCTACACATAGGACACATCGACCGATATAATTCCTGTATGTCAACTTCTTTATCTATCATTTATCATATAATTTCTCTCAAAAATAATTTCAATCCTAATACATGTAAGCGAACAATTGTTTTCAATTAGATCGTCATCATGCTTTACTCTAACCAATCAAGGTAATTTGAGTCAATAAGCACAATGAAATAGAATACGTCACCGAGCATAATAGTTAAAAGTACAAGTTGATAGTGGGAAGTCAGGTGCACTGATAGTAGTTAGAATATTAAATTACGATAACATAAGTCTTATCATTAGTTAAACATTAGAAATAGAAGGTTAAACGTGGGTAAATAGACTTGGAATAGGAAATTAGAAGGGAATCTTCTTCAGAGACAATATTCCGTTGAAAACCTGCCTTCAGAGCTTCAGTTAATGTTCATGGATTATGTTGAAAAAAATTTCCAAGAATAGATTTGAGAAGACGATGACAAAACTAGTGAAAAATTTGGAAAACCAGAAAAGGAATTTCCTTTCGACCCAAAACGGTATGTATATAATTTTTCCAATATCGAACTAGATGTAATCCAGCTAGAAGCTTTATCTCTGGGGCCTAAATTCTGTGATAGTAGACATAGAATCAACCAATTAGATACTGATGTACAGTTTGACAATTTATTTTCACAAACAACTAACTTGATTCCTACCTCATTGAAGGATCCAGCTAGGTCTAAGACACTTTATTTGTTCTAATTTTCATAATGGGAATCTTTAATATTCTAAATCCTAAACACTGTTGTTCGTGTGTTTAAATTCAAGTTGAGATCATGGAGAAGAATCATAACTCAATTGAATGATTTTGGTTGTGTTTTTTTCTCTGATCTGGATAGTTTGTTGTAGAGCTTACACTATTCTTCCGAACAACATCATCATCACAAACTTTAGGTAGAAGTGAAGTGACTTCAATTCAGAGAATAAAACTTAAATTCATTAGTGACTGACTTCAAAAGATATTTCCTGGAGTTCTAGTGAGAAGCAGTGACCAGTGGAGTTCAACCATGTCTCTTGTGAGATATCAACTCACTGAACATAATGATGAACGGTTGCTCAACTTCGTGGATTGATTGAAGTTAGACATTAACACCGTTTATTTATCACTTCTTACTGCATATTATGTAACTGTACTATCTATCCACTTTGATTTGATTACACTTAAAATTCGTACAATAAGATAAACAAATTGCTGAGAACTCCATAGTTTACATCAAGGACTGTTATTAGGTAGAAAGCCATTCAAAACTAAAAGGCATTGAATAAACGTTTCATCTTAAAATGGAACTCTTTAATAGTGCAGCTCCATAACCCTATCAGAGATTAGGCTCTGACCAGTAAACCGATATCCGGTAGTTAATATATTATATGACTAATAAAATGAAACATAAGTCTCATAGATGAGCGTTTGAGATGGTGGAGAAGATTTGTAGCTCAAGTGGGTGATTTTGATGTGGGTTTGTTCTCTGAGCTGGATGGTTTGGTTGTGGAGCTTTCATCGTCCTTCTGAACGACATCATCAGCACAAACTTAGGATAGAATTGAAGTGTTTAAATTTCTCCACATGTGATTTACAGCTTGTCCTGTGCACCTCGATGTTGACAGATTTAAGGTCAATAAGAACCAATCAACATCGAGGTGCACAGGACAAGCTGTGAATCACATGTGGAGAAATTTAAACACTTCATTTCTACCTGAAGTTTGTGCTGATGATGTCGTTCAGAAGGACGATGAAAGCTCCACAACCAAACCATCCAGCTCAGAGAACAAACCCACATCAAGATGAGCGTTTCTTACAACAAAATTCATTCCAAAAAGATTTTGTCAATTACTATTACTAGACGGTTTGAATTATTTTTTTCTCGTTAGCGTTTTTTAGCGAGTTAGTATTCAACGGGATGGGGTCGCTAACCCCATACCCAACCCTCCTACTTTAACCAAGCTTGGGACCGGCAGTAGCTCTAGAAGAGCTCCACCACAAGGAGTAACAGGCGTAAGTAAGCAAGTAATTACTAGACGGTGACTACTTTTTATTAATAAAAAGCCAACCATATGGAACGTATATATATTCGTCATAGAATCAGCTTTTCTTTTATTTGTATAGTATAAACGAAACTGTTTCATCCTTCTTAGGATTTAGCAAGTTCAGTTGTGATTGGTGTTTTCATTAAGGATTGTTAAAGTTGAAATGTTGTTGAAGACTAATAGGTATTTGACATCTACATCATTCTTATTTTTACTTTGAGATCACATAAAACTGTGTACTTAAGATTTGTATATTAACTTGATATTTAGATCCTAGTATACCAGGCGCCATAATATGAAAGCCATAGTTTTGTACTTTCTATAGTATCTATCATTGATAACACTGTACAAAAACAAAGCAAACTGACTTAAGTTTCATAGCTTTGAGTATCTTTATCATTATTATCATTTTCAGATAAAATAAACATCTACTCTTATTACAGACTGGAATCAGCTACTATGCCCCCAAATGCCCTGGTACGACCGAGAGTGGAGAGAGTCCTCTCTCCATCTCCAAATGCTCTCACATGGCCACATGCACACAACTACTGCCAGGGAAGTCCTACTCACTGCCTTCTCGTGCCACGGGTGTTGTTTACGAAATCGAGAGGACGAAAACCGAATGTCCGGCTCTTTAATCAGGTTGATGGACACAGAAATTGCACCTAGGGGAGTTGGAAAACCCTCATTCCAAACCAATGGTGCACATTGATTCTAGTATCCTGATGGAATAAATGGCGTATGAACCTATTGTTGGTCACCGGCTACCATGGGATCGCATCTCCTCACGATGCTCCACTGCCTTGTGGATCAGACCTTTAGGTGAAAGGCTCCGAGTATGGCTCCCTAAGAAAACCCCCTGTTCCGGTTTGGGCAGCCGGGCAATATCACAGCCCTCACATAAATCAAATGAGATTTTTGTGGCGCATATATATCTGATGCTTCCTTGTACCAATATTTATGTGTTTAATTAAAATAAAATAAAAAGATGCTTCCCGATTATCTGTATCTATAATCATAACATGAGTAAGACACAGAATATTGAAGTTGCAAGGCGACTGTATTTGAATTCCTAATGCTGTTTGTTTAATACAAATCAATTTTGAATATTTTGTAATTTTCTATTGATCTCTAATTTGTTTACTTTAAACAAACATCCAAAACTTTACACAAGTACGTGCATGCACGTTTAGGCATCATATGAAGTCGAATAAGTACGTTAAATACACATATCTATCCAAGTATTCATAAAGTGGGGAAAAAAAATGTACAAATATGACGTAAACTTTTTAATTAGCATATGTAATATGTATTGCAGAATGGTATCCAATCTAAAGGGGAAGTATGAAAAGGGTGAGATTAAAATGGTTACACATTAATAACGGCTACCATGAAAATGGTGCATATAAATAAAAGTGAGAGGTAAAAAAGGGAATAATATTTTTGATGATATGAAACATGTTCGATTCATCCCTCTGTCTTTCTGCCCCCACGATCAGTCAAAAATGTAGTTTTCTAAACATCTAATGAAGACTCTATTTTCAACAAATACTGTAATTTTAATAGCTGAAATCATGAAGCAATTGAAGCTAGACCACCATGAAAAACATGGAAGCTCTGGACGACCGTTTCGTCTTATTGTGGGACTCCTCGGCAGTGTGCATCCACGTTCCCGCCTCGCGAGATATGACAGACAGTACGGTTTTCAATCCATTTATAATCTGTTCCTTTTTCAGAGCATCAATAAACTTTTATTTACTTGGATGAGCGGGACCAACATGTTGTCAAAGCCTCTACACCGCCACTCCGCTGCATTGCTCTTTTTACGAAAGATTCACAACAAAGGGTAAATAGAACAGATTTCATATCAATAAAAATATTATTCACCCTTTCAATATTTACGCTTACTTGTATGCACCTTTTTTTACGATTGCGTTGTGTCTAACATTATATATAGGCTACATGGGTTATTTTAACATTTGGATTGTTATGGCTGGTGGTTTCCTTTTTATTCCGTCATATCACAAATAGGCCGGTTTATTTATTCTTCTTGGGTCGGATTGAAAAAAAAAACTATTTTGTTGAAATCAGATAATCTTCAATAGAATGACCACAAAGCTTCCAAATTAAACCATCCAGCTCAAAAAACACAGCACTACCGGAAAGAATCCACCGTAACTAAATCTCTTTTGAATTATTCCGATATAATGTCGACACATCACTCACTATCAAATGTTTACAGGAAAATATGTATGATCAATAGAAAACTACTAAATCACATTGGTACGTCTTGTAAGTTGAACGCTATATTCAGATCTTAAGCTAGTTCCGTAACGCCAGGCTAGAACTACTCAGTGACTTGAACACCAGAGAGAAGACGCGAGTATGAGAGAAACACTTTACTGCAAGGTTCAGTCTTGTTACAGAAAATCATAGTTATTTATGGATGTTAGCGTATGTTAAATCAACATCTTATTTCAGCCAATCCATTAACGACATTTTATGCTACCGGCCAATAGTAGCTCGCCACGTTGGAACTCTAGAATGTTCCATTGTACCCTGATTGGCTGGGTCTATTCGGCTCCTTTTTAGGCCTCTAGAGGCTTCATCGAAGTTCTCCGGAAGCTGACTCAACACACATACAAAACACTGAATGTACAACAATTCTGTATTGATTATCAACTCTTTTATTAAGTATGTGGTAATTTAATCAATTTAGATCTATTTAATTTGCATGGGAAATCCGTTTGAAGCTCCTCCGGGGATTACTGCAGGTTCTATTGCCAGATAAAAGAGGAGGGTTGAGCATGGGATTAGCTACCCCATCACGTAGAAAACTAACTCGCTAAAAAAACGCTAATCAGAAAAAATTTGTATGAAACTAATAATACTGCTAAGAATTTGTTCTAATTAAAGTATCAGGAGGCGTTTCTTGTGGAGATTTAGTATTGTCATAGTTGAAAGCGTGAGTTAATTGAAGCTAGACCACTAGGGAAAACCTGGAAGCATTGGACGGCCGTTTCGTCCTATTGTAGGATGCCGGCTCAATGGTCTATCGGTTAAATGCTCTGGCGCAAGACTGTTAGGTTTTCAGTTTGAATCTCGCGAGGCGAGATCGTGGACGCGCACTGTTGAGGAGTTCCACAATAAAACGAAACGGTCGTCCAGTGCTTCAAGGTTTTCCATGATGGTCTAGCTTCAATTGGCTTACTCTTTCAACTATTAATTAAAACTCATATGATAGAATTCATCAAACTATCCATTAACTTACTGTATTAATTCGACTATTCTCAATTTCTACTGTTTTTAAACGACAACCATAAGTATAAATATTCTTTTCATTAATATTTAATGAATCAATTTGATTCATTAACTTTTTCATATAATCCAATTCAAAGGTATTAGTTTGTTTTTTTGATAATTTCTAGAAAAAAAAAACAATATGAATATAGTATTTAGATAATAGTGTGATGTGGGTTGCTTATATCCATATAAGTAGTATATGATGATGGTCGGGCAGAGATTGTATTTCAGTAGAAGATTGATAAGGAAAGAATGTAAAAACGAAACGCAATTCGTATGAAAATGCATGAACAGTAATAATCAAAGTCTATGGACTGATATTTCCCGAAGGAATGGTCAAGATTGAGGCAATTATTTGATAGTTTACGAATCAACTGTTTACTGTATCGTTGTCAGAATTTAGCATGATATTCTGTAATTTTGTACTCTACTACAGTCGATTGTCCCCACTCTTCCTCTTGATCACTACAGTTAGGATCATTATTTATAGAGTCGAATGAAAGGTGATTATATTTTGTATCGATCTGGAGTTCTAGTGAGAAGCAGTGACCACTGGAGTTCAACCAGGTCTGTTGTGAGATAGTAACTCACTAAAGACAATGATGAGCGGTGGGGCAACTTCGTAGATTGGTTGAAGTTAGAAATTAACACTGTTGTATGCCGGCCAGCTCGGTGGTCTATCGGTTAAGCTCTCGCGCGCGAGACTGATAGGTCCTGGGTTCGAATCTCATGAGGCGGGATCGTGCATGCGCACTGCTGAGAGATCCCACAATAGGACGAAACGGCCGTCTTATGCTTCCAAGTTTTCCATAGTGGTTTAGCTTCAATTGACTGATGAATTCAACTATGAAAATACTGAAATCTCTACAAAACTCTTTCTGATAACAAGAGAAAGAACGAGTTTAGACAATGCAATTACCAAACATATATTGCATACAACACATCAGGTCAATACCTTTCAATTTTTCTAAGTGATTACCAAACAACCGAGCTTCAGTCTTCTGAAGTTTGTCTGAAGCTGTTACTACCAGGAGTCAAAAACCTGATTTATATGTTCAAAAGGAGATGGTTATTAATCTTTTTTTGCCTTGGTGACAAATATTGCTTCATTGCATCTTAAAAATGTTTTTTTGATTTTTAAACTGTTTCTTCTATTTATTACATTACTGTCTTTTTATTACGTCAGTATTTCAGATTATTAATCTTATTTTATTAATTGGGGATAGCGTTTACTTATGATGTAATCACTTGTTTCCAGCCGTTTGAACCGTTATCATAAACAATGTTACAGAACTTTCTTTTACATAAAGTACATATTTTTAATATTCAGTCTATTAAGTTTACTTATACCTTTGCTATACCATACTAATGTATCTTCAACATAACTTCCGACTAAACTACTTTATGTACTTAATTTAAACCCCTTTTGTTAAGTATGACTTTTACATATCCGAGGTTGTAAGCAGCCGACAAGAATCAGACGTAATGAAATGAATTCATGTTGTTCGGCTAGAATCTTTGTTCTTGCTCTCTTCAAATTAAAAGAAGTTTAATAAGTAATTTGAAAATGTTATCACTTAATCTTGCATTAATTTATCTTTATTCACTACTTTACTCTCTAAAGAAGTGAATTAAACCATATCGTATCGTCTTTTACAAGCGGCCCATAATAAGGATGGTTAATAAAGACAAATTGCTTGAATTCACTACGTCCATGTGTATTTGGTAATTCAACTGCTCCTGTGGAGCCAGTTTTATAGGGCGTACAATTGGGTAAGTCCATCATCGCATAGTAGAACACCATTTGTCTTGGTTGAGCAAAAGACCAGTAAGATTGATTAAGAGTTCTATTCTCGCTCACTTGGTGGACATAGGTCATCAAGTTGAATTGAATAAAGCTTTTAAGGTTATCCATCATATTCTATCAAATTTGCCGCATGGTTTACGAGTTTATCTTTTACACATTACTGAAGCCATCGCAATTCATATTCACAAACCAAACCATTGCATTCAAAAGAATTTTGTACAACCACTCTCGCTACCTTGGCTATCGGTATAAGGAAGTTTGTAGCAGAACTTTGATAAACCATTTCCATATTTCTTCCAGTTTTTGTATTTCATTTATTCTCATCATTTGTTTATTGATTCTTACATAACTACTATACTACTAACGATTCATAAAAATATTTTGTTAGTTCCTTCTTTTTTATATATTTCGCAACTTAGTAACAGCTTGATTTTCGAATGATTAATTTGATTATTTAATAGTTAAATTCATGAGTTGATTAAAGCTAGATCACTATGGGAAACCGGGAAGTACTGGACAGTCGTTTCGTCCTACTATGGAACTCTTCAGTTGTGCGCATGCACGATTCCGCTCATGGGATTCGAACCCAGGACCTATCGTTCTGGAGTGATTATTGATCATTATAATCCTCTTTCAAATACTCAATGTTAGTTTATAATCGTTATGTCATTATATAATTATTACGTAACGTACCTACTCGACGAGTATTATTTCATTATTTTAAATAATATATATAATAGTGTAGAGTAATGATGAAAACCTAATTGGAAAGAAATTTCTTCGCTCCATTCTTTCTTTCTTTACTTATCAAATGTCATGATGGTTATCTTCACTATATCGTGAAATGTTGAAAATTCAGTTTTTCACTGAGTGATATACCAAAAAATATAGTTTTAATATTATTTTAAAAAAATAATTTTTTCTGGTTGTCAACCAACAATCAGAATTTTCAATACAAATGTCAAGACAGTTCTACTGTATGGGGTGGAGACGTGGAGAACTACGAAGGCCATCATCCAAAGGATACAGGTGTTTAGTAACAGTTGTTTACGCAAAATACTTCGGATCCGTTAGCCAGACACTATCAGCAAAATTAGGAAGAAGCGCACTAATGGGATAAGATACACATTGAGGAAAGCAGCCGATTGCGTCACAAAGCAAACCCTCATATGGAATCCTGAAGGCCAAAGGAGAAGAGGAAGACCAAAGAACACATTACGCCGAAAAATGGAGACAGACATGAGAAGAATGAATAACAACGGGATAGAACCAGAAAGGAAGGCCCAGGACAGAGTGGATTGAAGAATGCTGGTCGTCAGCCTATAGTCCATTGGGAGTAAAAGACGTAAGTAAGTAAGAATTATTAAAAACAAACTGCTTAACATCCAGTTTATTGTAAACCATTAATTCGATTCTTAATGATGATACATACGAAATGATTTTTTAAAAAAAGAAATTTTCTTTAAAAGGAACAAATATGATTGAAGGATTAAGATGTTTAGAATAGCACAGAAAAAAAGGTTAAGGTAAATCAAAAGGGTGAATGTGAATAAGATATTTCTAACGATTTTTCCTCAATTGAATTAATTCCAGAAACTAGAAAGCTTGATATTTAACCCATTATGAAGTCATAGATTGAAATCTCTGTTGAATTTGGAACTAAGGAGGGAAGCAAAAGTTAACTGTTTCTTGATATTTCATGTAATTCATACTTATTTCAGTCAGTCAGTCAGTCAGTCAGTCAGCTACGACTTGAGACTTCACAGTATTGCCCACCTACTGTTTTTAAGGATTATAGAGAGCACATTACTTTTTAGGCTATCAAGATGGTATTTAATAGTTAGAATCTTCAACATAATTCATTATTATTATTATTTATTTCCATCAATAATATCTACGATTTGGACTTCGCAGATGACTTAGCCCTCCTATTTCATACACACGAACAAATACAGACAAAGACAACAAATGAAGCAGCGCCCTCTGCATCAATAGGCCCCCAGATTCACAAAGGAAAAAGCAAGATTTTCAAATACAACATCGATAACGTCAAGCCAATCACAATTGATGGCGAAACTCTGGAAGATGTGGAAACATTCACGTACCTGGGAAGCATAGTTGATAAACAAGGAGGATCGGATGCAGATGTAAAGGCGAGGATTAACAAAGCAAGGACAGCACTTCTACAATTGAAGAACATATGGAATTCAAAACAACTGTCAACTAAATTCAAAGTCAGAATCTTCAATACGAACGTCAACATAGTCAGTCCGACTGTACGGAGCTGAATTGTAGAAAACTACTACATCCATCGTCAAGAAGGTACAAGTATTTATAAACAGTTGTTTACGCAAAATACTCAACATTCACTGGCAGAATACTATCAGCAACAGCCTTCTGTGGGAGAGGACAAATCAGCTTCCATCTGAAGAGGAAATTCAGAAAAGACGTTGGAAGTGGATAGGACATACATGAAGCAAATCAACAATTTGTATTACAAGGCAATCGCTTACTTGGAATCTGGAAGGGAAGTGGAAAACCGGAAGGTCAACAAACACAATACGTCGGGAAATAGAAGTAGATATGAAAAATATGAATAATAACTGGAAAGAACTGGAAGGGATTGTAAGGGACAGAGTTGGGTGGAGAGTGCTGGTGAGCGGCCTATGCTCCTCCACAAGGGGTAACAGGCGTAAGTAAGTACGTAAACAATATTATCTACCCTACTCCTGATATAATAAGTGTTAACTCTCGTTAGATACGCATTAAAACTTCAGTAGTTCTTCACAAAGTTAATCATCATGTCAATAATCAATTGGATAATAAAAAGATAATAAAAACTAATTTACTTTCGAAAAAACAAGCTTACTAGGTCAAAATCAAGTTTTTTATTCTCATCATTCAATCGTTTTATTTCATTTTCCAATGAACGAATATTTTGATTCATTTCTAATGATAAAAGACAGTTCATTATGTATAGTGGTAATACTAATTATTATTATTTGTATATGTATACAGAAACTTTTAGAAAGTTTTGGAATCATGAATGTGAACTTACCATAGATAATTGGACCGTGAAACGTATATTTGAGGAAGATATATGCATTTGAAATCATGAGTCAATTGAAGCTAAACCACTATGGAAAACCTGGAAGCACTAGATAGCCGTTTCATCCTATTATGGGACTCTTCAGCAGTCCGCATACACGATCCCGCCTGGCGAGCAAGATTCGAACCCAGAACCTACTACTCTCGCTTGAGAACGCTTAACATATAGACCACTGAGCCGGCCGGCATCTCACAATTTTAATGTATAACTTCAATCAATACACGAAATTGAGCAACCGTCCTTCATTGTGTTCAGTGAGTTACTATTTCACAACAGACATGGTTGAACTCCACTTGTTACGGCTTCTCATAAAAACTTCTGGAAATACCTCTTGAAGTTAGTCACTTGTGATGATCCTAATCAGAAAGGGGTTTCGTGAATATTATAGTAATTTAATAGTTGAATTTATGATTCAATTGAAGTTAGACCACCATGGAAATCTTTGAAGCACTGGATGGCCGTTTCGTCCTGGTAAATAATTCCTCACCATACACTCGAGTAAGTAAACAGACTTATCTGTATTTAATCATACAAATGATGACATATTATTTAACTGATAAACTATATTCATCCATTTTATCTTACCCTAATATTAATCATATTACATAACCGTGTTCATATCACCTAGTATTGTTTGTTTGAATCTTCCCATTGATGTTTAAGAATGTAACCGGTCAGTCTTCAACTGGTATATATGCATACTGTGCGTATTGAATAAAGCCAATAATAATAACTGCCTCGATATAGCCTTATTTCAAAAGCATTGTAAGTAAAGATAGATAGTGGCTAGCAGTGAAATTCAGGATACGCGTTTCGTCTTATTCGGGACTCGTCAGCTGGATTTACCTGCATCTCAGAGTGAATGTTCACTCTGGGACTCGAACCCACTACCTTTCGCTTCAAATGCCATCGCGTTATCCACTCAGCTACTTAGTGTTCATATCAATTATAGATTGAAATATTAAAATAGAATGACAGAAATTATATATAAAATTAGTTACTAAGTTATACATAACTAATTATCTTTAACTATATACTTAATTAACATTGAATTAGTTAGTTATTTAAAGATTTATTAGTAAATACATATTTAAGTAGTATAAAAGTTTGCATAATTTGATCACTAAAAAAACAAACAAACAAACGAAAAAACACTAATTAACATTTTCATAGTTGAGATTTCAGCTGAGTGCCTTCTTTGTGATGCAATTTGATAGTCTCAACAATGTATGCCCTACCCTCCTTCAGTGTATTTCCTTAACTTCCTCTTCATCTTGAAGTTGGTTTCTTCTCTGTTACATTAAACTGTTTCTGATGATGTCTAGCCAACGAATATTGAATATCTTGAGTAGATAACTGTTTATAAATGCCAGTGCATTTTAATGATGTTTGTAGTAGTTCTCTAAGCTTCAGCACCATACTGTACTTACTTACTTACTTACTTACTTACTTACTTACTTACTTACTTACTTACTTACTTACTTACTTACTTACTTACTTACTTACTTACTTACTTACTTACTTACTTACTTACTTACTTACTTACTTACTTACTTACTTACTTACTTACTTACTTACTTACTTACTTACTTACTTACTTACTTACTTACTTACTTACTTACTTACTTACTTACTTACTTACTTACTTACTTACTTACTTACTTACTTACTTACTTACTTACTTACTTACTTACTTACTTACTTACTTACTTACTTACTTACTTACTTACTTACTTACTTACTTACTTACTTACTTACTTACTTACTTACTTACTTACTTACTTACTTACTTACTTACTTACTTACTTACTTACTTACTTACTTACTTACTTACTTACTTACTTACTTACTTACTTACTTACTTACTTACTTACTTACTTACTTACTTACTTACTTACTTACTTACTCACTTACGCCTGTTACCCCTCGTTGGGGAGCAAAGGTCTCATACCAGCATTCTCCATTCAACCCTTTCCCGGACAATCCCTTCCAGTTCTTTCCAGTTATTATTCATATTTTTCATATCTACTTCTATTTCCCGACGTATTGTGTTTGCTGACCTTCCGGTTTTCCACTTCCCTTCCAGATTCCAAGTAAGCGATTGCCTTGTAATACAAATTGTTGATTTGCTTCATGTATGTCCTATCCACTTCCAACGTCTTTTCTGAATTTCCTCTTCAGATGGAAGCTGATTTGTCCTCTCCCACAGAAGGCTGTTGCTGATAGTATTCTGCCAGTGAATGTTGAGTATTTTGTGTAAACAACTGTTTATAAATACTTGTACCTTCTTGACGATGGATGTAGTAGTTTTCTACAATTCAGCTCCGTACAGTCGGACTGACTATGTTGACGTTCGTATTGAAGATTCTGACTTTGAATTTAGTTGACAGTTGTTTTGAATTCCATATGTTCTTCAATTATAGAAGTGCTGTCCTTGCTTTGTTAATCCTCGCCTTTACATCTGCATCCGATCCTCCTTGTTTATCAACTATGCTTTCTCTATACTCTAGAACTCTTCTAACATTTGTATTGCAAATTCTGACAGTTGTTTTGGGTTCCATATGTTTTTTAATTGTCACACTTTAATTTTGAAATTTAACAAAACTGTTCTGTCACCAAATTCTAATTAAGCGGGCTGATGTTTGAATTTACAACTAACTGTTTGAAGCATTTTCATTTTAACCAAAAACCCCTAATTATTAATATTACAACCTGTCCATTTGGATTCTCCAACTACTTCATTATCTCCAATTAAACAGTCGAAGCTTTTAACAACACAGTAGATGCAATTGAAGTCCTTTAAAATAATCCCTATATGAAACAATGGTAATCACTTTTAAGCATTCATAATGTACATTTGTTACCTGAACTTACCGACCTGAAATGACTTAGTTTCTGTTTCAATCATTTCAATTTTTTTGACTTTATTATTTAATCCTTCCAATTTTGGTAGATCATCTTGAATATTCTTATCCATTTGTTGACACTTTTCAACGAATTCATCCAACAATTTATTTAGTGCTATATTAATATCATTAAAGAGAATATTAGTTAAATAGAAATAATTTGTTTGAGAGTAGGACATAGAAAATAGAGATTATTTAAGAGCGAAAGTTCTGGATTCGAGTTCCGCGTGCAAAATCGTCCCATATTGGGACGAAACAGCTGTTCAGTACCTCCAGTTTTTCAATGGTAGTCTAATACTGATCCATTAATGATTGAATACGTAAAACATGTTGAGTGAAAAGAACATACAATTCATTACTACTGATTTAATTTAAGAAATATTTCACCATAAATCGCGTTAGCTTATTGTTTATAAGTTATGATATTCAACTACTAACAATAGTTTTATAAAGTAAAACCTGTCCTGCTTATCAAAGTTCATGAATAAGGAAGTCTAAATAAATGATGGTATTTTTCGGTTGAGCATGTATGTAACCTCTGGAATAATACTGTTATGTAATCATATGATTAGAAGCGATCGCCAACAAGCACTATATTTGCGTTTAATAACAGCTAGAACTCATCAACGTGGTCCATCTTGAACCTTAAAGAGATTGATGTATTTTTCGGCATTCTAATTAGTGATAGTAGGTTATACAACCTGGTAGACGCGTTGTAAACCAATAGATAGAATTTGACCAGAACAAAGGAGTAGATAATATGACATTAGTTGATGTTCAGTGGTTATGTAGTTCGAACTAATAACCTCTGAGATATTCAAGGAAATCTAATATATCTCCACAGTCACAAACGGTTGTTACTGAGCCAATTTAACCTTAAATAACTTCATACTGTATTTAGCGTATTGATAACTGAATAACTCGTACGGTCAAGCAATCCTTATAAACATTTGAATGCTATTGATTAAACTTCTGACACTTTTAATAAGTTGAATGTCTTTATATGGAAATACGATATATCTGATCCTGGTTAGTTTTGGGACAATTGGATTTTACACCTTTTCTTCATTCTGGCACTCATAATTTATTATCATTATTTGATCCAAAAGAACTTGCTACCAATTGCCTTTAATTAGTCAAAAAATCAACATGATGATAAGTCAACACAAACTTGATATTTTATATAGTTAAGATCATGAGGCAGTTGAATCTAGACCACCATGGACAACATAGAAGCACTAGATGGCCTTTTCGTCCTATTGTGGGACTCCTCAGCAGTGCGCTTCCACGATCCCTCCTCGCGAGATTTGAAATAAACTATTAACAACATGGTTAAGTATCATGAAACTGATTAACAGTGATTCATTAAATCATCTTGACCAATTCATCATCTACTGCTTTAGTCGATGTTCCAGTTATTTACTAGTCGTTGAACATAAATGTTGAAATGATGTCGTATGCAATGTTGATGTAAATCCTTCTCTCTCGTGGCGAGGCGGGATCGTGGATGCGCACTGCTGAGGATAGTGGCTAGCAGTGGAATCCACGACGCGTGTTTCGTCCAACTTAAGAATCGTCATCTGGATGTGCCTACACCTCAGAGTTGATGTTCACTCTGGGAATTGAACCCAATACCTTTCACTTCAAACGCCATCGCGTTATTCACTTAGCTACTGAGTTCTGATAACCACTTGCTTTTTCCATTGTTAGCCGCTGTCCATCTTTGCTTATAATACTTGTGAATTAAGGCTATATCGATGCAATACCCACAGTATGAACATATGGCCAATAAGAGACTGATCAATTGCAGTCCTAAACATCAATCGGAAGATTCAAGTAAGAAATACCAAGGAAATTCAAAAGAAATCATTTTTTTGATTGAATTATTTATGAAATATATAAAAAGTGTATATACCGCCTAATTTAATTTATTTCCCATTATAAATTATTCATAATTGTCAACTTATTTGATTGGCTAAAAACCGATCAATATTTCGTAGAGTAACTTTTATGGATTTGTCAAATTCATTCCAACAGTTTAAGTTTATCAATATTCTTTTGATGTTGATCGGAATATTCTTTAGTCGATCAGTTAGTAAATATAATCCATCAACTGAACATAAGCACGGATGGTCTTCTCGTCCCAGTATTTTACTTCTCAGTAGTAAGCATTCACGACCCTGTCTGGGGGTTTGAGAATAGAACTTATCGATCTACAATGCGAACGATTAACATGTAGACCACTGAACTGGTCGGCATCCAACAGTTTTAATGTCTAGATCAAATCAATGTTCAATGATTAGAAGAATTTCAGTTTAATTCAACCGAATGTAAAATGACATTTACAGATTATTATCAGAAGGGGATTTGTGGAGATTTATTATTTTCATAGTTGAAAGCATGAGTCAATTGAAGCTAGACCACCATGGAAAACTTGGAAGCACTGGACGACCGTTTCGTTCTATTATGGGAATCCTCAGCAGTGCACATCCACGAACCCGCACTCGCGAGATTCGAATTCAGGACCTACCAGTCTCACTCCAGAGCACTTAACTGAGCCGACATACGATGGTGTTAATGTCTAACTTCAACTGATCCACAAAGTTGAGCAACCGTTCACCAATTGTCTTCAGTGAGGTGATATATCACAACAGACGAAATGGCCGTCCAGCTTCAATCTACTCACGCTTTCAACTATGAATCTATAGATTAATTTATTTAAAGAATCATTCATCACAGACTGTACAGCTAACTTACAAACAATTTTCTCTGTAGTATGTATCCTTTCATTATCATGGTGTTCTTTTTCAACTTTCATTGTTGATTGAATTTCCCCGAATTTTTGTTTGTTTATTTCAATTTCTTTTTCTAATTGCGTTTTCTAGAAGTGTATTAATTTAAAGTTGAAATATTGATGAAACATAATTTTTTTAATTAGTTAGTTAGATATAGTGTAGTGGACAATACTTATATCGACATATATAAGTAGTATGTAACACCGATCAGAAGTCGAATGCCAGGTGGCAGAAGATTGAGATGATCGAATGGAAGAGAACAGAAATGTAAACAGATCGTTATTTTAATAACAATAGGAATAAAGGAACGACGAAGTTCGTAAGAGACAAGTGATAGATGTGCAAATGAAGTGTTTCATTTATGGTTTTCATATTTAATGAAGACATTATAATTTTACACTGAACAATTGATTGTCTATCCTCATCTGAGTTCTTTGTTCACCATAATGACGATATATTGAGAATCATCGTATCAACAATCGTACATAACAAAAGGGGGAGGTCAGACGAGTATTGATCGAAGTGAAAATAGTAGAAATTGATAATAGACGAATAATAGCATTGGCAAACACTTTGGATTACTTAATTTAGCATTTCCAACTACAGGTTTCAAGAGTATCAAGAGTTAATAAGTTCATATTATTGAACCCAAATTGAAGTAGTATTCAGTTGCTTAGAATATTGGAATTGTGTTAAATACATAAAATTCCTTAATGATATTACTATCCTGAGATATTCAATGCAGTTCGTCTAAAAACTAGTCTGGGCACCCGGGCAGTATCACAGCCCACATATAAAATCAAGTGACTTGTGTGGTACATTTGTATTCGGTTTCACTTTTGTACCAATATTTATATGTTTAAATAAATAAACGATTGAAATAAGAAATCTGTCATCTCGAACAGACGAGTATTGAGCTAGATCAACGAGATAGTCTAGAATACAAGGTACTCGACAAGATACCAGTCAGTCTTAGAGATACTTTATCTTCAAGTATTTCAAACTTTGCATAATCTCATATATTCACATAGCTTTGCAAACTGAATGCGTTGAAATAAGTGTTCAATGAGTTCACACTATTTTAAACATGACGAGGTAAGTGGTAGTATCTCACAATGTAATTCTTGGAAAGGCATATTCGAATCCCACGGCGAACAATGATTCTCTCAAAATTATCAATATTATTAGATAACTCAAAACTAAGTCTAATGCTTAATTCACTTGGTATTGTTTTCTTGAATCTTTGCATTGATGTTTAGGACTGCAATTGATCAGTCTCTTGTTGACATATGTGCATACTGTGCAATTGCCTCGATATTGCCTTAGTTTACAAATTTTATAAGCAAAGATAAACAATGGTTAGCATGACGCGCATTTCGTTCTATTTGGGACTCGTCAGTTAGGATGTACCTGTATCTCAGAGTCAATATTCACTCCAGCACTCGAACCCAGTACCATTTGTTATGGTTTTGACCTAGGCGGTAGCCAATTGTTATGACTTGATCAAGGTCGTCGCTAATTCGTTATGACCTTACGAATTTAACAAGGATGTAATTCGCGTTCATTATCCACCAATAGAATACGCCTTCTACGACCTTCACACTGTGACAATGATGTTCGATTAGTATGAGTAATCTAGCGTCCTTATTGGCCCTTATCCGCCTAACCCGTCCACTTGAGTCCAAAAACACCAATAGCAGCTGCTGTAATGCGAATCGTTTATTTCAAACATACTTTATCTATATACCAGACAGGCAGACCACACCACACCATAAAATAGAAATTAATATTTGTACAAAACCAGGCCAAATGAGGCTGTAAGCGTGGGAGACAATAATCAATAAAACTGAGCATAACATAGGGACAGTAAATCACATAGTAATAATCAATAGGTCAAAATAAAGCTTAGATAATCTAGTTACCGAACAGTCATACAATAAGAATGATAGTCCAATAGTAGGTCCTGCAAGTTACCCGTACTTATGTCTTCGCTACTACATAACACCATTCTTTTCAAACGCCACCGCGTTATCTACTTAGCTGCTGAGTCTAGATAGCCATTAGCTTGTGCAATAGAGTGAAGTTTAACTTCATTTAGTATTATTCACTTAAATCTTCCCATTGATACACAGTACTGGGTTCGAGTCCCATAATGAACTACAATTCTGTGATGCAAGTACATCCAATTAACAAATCCCAAATACAACAAAACGTTCATCCTGAATTCCACTACTAATCACTATACATCTTTACTTAGTAAGTCTAATGTTTCCAATAATCAAATATTGATCATATTTCATTAAATACAGCATTTACTATTATTATTTCTATTATTATCAGATAGGATCTTGCGGAGATTTAGTATTTTCATAGTTGAAAGCGTGAGTCAATTGAAGCTAGACCACCATGGAAAACCAGGAAGCACTTTACGGCCGTTTCGTCCTATTGTGGGACTCTTCAGCAGTGAGCATCCACAAAAGCCCTTCTGATTATGATTATCAGATGCTCACTAGTGACAATATCCAAGAGGTATTTCCTGAAGTTCTAATAAGAAACCGTGGTCAGTGGAGTTCAACCAGGTCTGTTGTGAGATAGTAATTCACTGAACACAATAGTGTTTGTGTCGCTCAATTTCATGGATTGGTTGAAGTTAGACATTAACACTGTTGAATGCCAAACAGCTTAATGGTCTACAGGTTAAGCGTTCGCACGTGATAATGTTAGCTCCTGGGTTCGAATCTCGCGAGTGCGGGTTCGTGGATGTGCACTGCTGAGGATTACAATAAGAGGAAGAAACGGCCGTACAGTGTTTCCAGGTTTTCCATGGTGTTCTAGCTTCAATTGACTCACTCTTTCAAATATTATTCTTTTCTCTATTTATTATATTCTAGTTTACTTGCCAAATTTCTATAATTAATTCATTGATCAAATCAATAATTTGAATTATTGAATATCTGATAATCAGATTAATCATACTCAAAGTGGGAATACTAATCAATATCCTTTCTATATTTAGTTACTTTTTTGTTACTGTGCTACAAATTGAACAATATAACAACTATTCATAATTTAGTTACTAAGGTTTCATTGATTAAAATGAAGGTTATAATATTGAAATAAAAGTTCAATTAATGAAAATGTATATTCAATATATGAAGAATTAAAATAAAGAATAGAACAATAATAGTTTGATTTAAATTGTTCAATATTCAATATATGTAATGAATAAATGAATATATTTAGAATTGGTTGCCATTGTGTTTATTTGTTTATATGAGGATGTTCAATAAATTAGTTAGAATTGTATATTGTGTGAGTAAAGATGGATAGTGGCTAGCAGTGGAATCTAGGACGTGTGTTTCGTCCTATTTGGTACTCGTCAGCTGGATGTATCTGCATAATAATTATAATCATTTTCAAACAATTTCATTGTTGAATTCATTAGTCGATTGAAGCTAGACCCCAAATGCTCTGGTACGGTCGAGTGAGGAAAAACCGCTCTCTCTCGAAATGCCCTCACATGCCCACGCGTATGCATCCTCTTCCAGGGAAATCCGACTCACTGCATCCTCGTGCCATGGGTGTTGTTTACGAAAATGAGAGGAAGAAAACCGAATGTCCGACTCTTTAACCGGGTTGACGGACACAGTGAGTCTACCTAAGGGAGTTGGAAAACCCTCATTCCAAACTAATGGTGCACATGGGCTCCAGTATCCTGTGGGAACAACTGACGCATGAACCAACTATTGGTCACCGGCTACCATGGGACTGCATCTCCTCACGATGCTCCACTGCTTTGTGGGTCAGATCTTTAATTCGAAGGCTCTAAGTGTGCTTCTTAAGAAAACCACCTGCTTCGGTCTGGGCACCTGAGCAGTATCCTAGCCCTCACATAATTAAGTGAAACGACAATTTCTTTGTGTGGCACATATATATGTGGTGCCCCCTAGTACCAATATTTATGTGTTCAAATAAATAAAATCAATACCATGGAAAACCTGGAAGCACTAGATAGACGTTTCGTCCTATTGTGGGACTCCTCAGCAATGAGAATCCATGATCCTGCTCACGGGGTTCGAACCTAGGACTTATCGGTTTCGTGCGCAAACGCTTAACCTATAGACCATTGAGCTGGCCGGCATCCGACAGTGTTAATGTCTAACTTCAACCAATCCACGAAGTTGCGCCACCATCCACCATTGTCTTCATTGAGTTACTATCTCACAACAGACTTGGTTGAACTCCACTGGTTACAGCTTCTCATTAAAACTCCAGGAAATACCTCTTGTATACCATCACTAATGAGCATATGGTGATCATAATCACAGGGATTTTCGCGGATGCACACTACTAAGGAGTCCCACAATGGGATGAAACAATTGTCAAATGTTTCTAAGTTTTCCATTAGGGTCTAGATTTCATTGACTCATCAATTCAATCATTAAAAGAGCTTTATTAAAATCTCAACAAATACATAAAATATGATAGATAGATAGATAGATATAGATTATTAAAATAAAAGTAGTATATCATCTTACTTGTTTATAAATTAAATTAATTTTACTTTTTGTTTCATTAATTCGACGTTGATATTTACGTATAAATAAATTTTGTTCATCATTAAAACTATTGACTTGTTTATGAATTTTACGTTGTTTACGTTGTAATTGAACCCTTTATAAATAGAATTATTATTATTATTAGTAGTAGTATTATTATTATTATTATGAATTGATACTATTTAAAGAGAAATGTGTTTTTTTTGTTGTTGTTGATGGAATTCAAAAAGATGATGAAGGCTACACGATCGAACTATTCAGCTCAGAGAATAGAACTCCGTTGAAATCATCTATCTGAGTTATAAATCTTCTTCATCATGTCAAAGATAAATAATTGTGATTAGTCAATCAGTCAGTCAGTTACAATGTAGAACCACGCACATATATGCATCGATCCAAGTTGCCATACCTCACTCATTAGCACAACAAGATCAACACCAAATTCATAGAAGTAGTTACTTTAGTGGTGGTAAAAATAAGAGAGAAAGATTGTATATAAGGATATAGTACAGGAAGAAAGATGTGAAGTAATTTTAATCTCAAAGTTTAAGGGAAGATAAAGAGTGTATACATCTGCACCATTGTGGTCGATTCTGAGCCATGTCACCTAGAGTCTCCAACCATTGGTTACAATAGTCATGCAAACCCCAACCAGGTAGTCTGCATCTACCAATATAGCTCAGATTAGAAGTTAGTGACTTCAAACACTGATGCCATGTTTTGGTTTGGCCGCCCCTAACTCTCTTCCAACAATCCCCAATACTAGTCAGCATTGCGCGTCGTCGTAATCGGTGTTCAGGCATACGTAACAGGTGGCCCAGCCATCTCGCTAGATGAAGATTCATTACCTCATCAACTGATTTACCATCATTCCCTAATAGTCTGTGATTAGTAGACATTAACTGAAAATTTTCATAATATTTATTCAGTATACTTAACCACTGTCTATATTAATAACTAATACTGGTTGACAAATGAAATGAGAATGCATAAATCTAGGTTATCGATCACTGATATGACACATGCTGATAGTTTCAGACTTCTGTGCTGGACTCAAAGTAATGGTTATAATCTATATACTAAAGATATTAGTTGGATCGGCCCTAATTGGGTTCAACATTAACGATGACATATGATATAGAGAATAACTAAGAACTTTCCATTCTGAGTAGTCAGTTGATATAAACCTCCCACTCCAACAGAAATTCAGTCGCTGTCTGATTAGATCAGCAGTGGAGTATATTACAGTGTCACTCGTTTGGATCTCGTGATGAGAATCAGTTCCTTGAAGATTAAATTTAAGCTTTTTTTGATGACTTTTTTTCCAGTGTTAGAATATCAAGTTACTCCTTATTAAGTTTGTTACTTTTAATCAATACTGACAATAATGAAACTGTTTTTTATTTATTTAGAACAGTTCCAGCCTCAGCAGCAGTAGGTTTCAATATACACAAATGGTAAAGCAACATTCTCCGACACAATACAGCACTCACCAATCGAATTACACTTGGCGGAAAAGCTTTGTAAGATATAAAATCCTTTACATATCTGGGCTGCATCATTGATGAACACGGTGGATCTGATGCAGGTGTGAAGATGCTGATCAGCAAAGCAAGAGCAGCATATTTACAACTGAAGAACATCTGGGACTCAAAACAATTGTCAACCAACACCAAGATCAGAATTTTCAATAAAAATGTCAAAACAGTTCTACTGTATGTGGCGGAAACTTTGTTAACTACGAAAGTCATCATCCAAAAGATACAAGTGTTTATTAACACTTGTCTGCGCAAAATAATTCGGATCCGTTTACCGGACATTATCAGCAACAAGTTACTGTGGGATACAACAAACCAGATTCCAGTGGAGGGAGAAATCAGGAAGAAGTGCTGGAAGTGGATAGGACACATGTTGAGGAAATTACCCAACTGCATCACAAGACAAACCCTCCCATGGAATCCTGAAGGCCAAATGAAAAGAGGAATACCAAAGAACACATTACGCCGAGAAATAGAGACAGATATGAGAAGAATGAACAAGAATTCTATAGAATTTAAAGAGAAGGCCCAGTAGAGAGTGGGTTGGAAGATGCTGGTCGGCGGCCTATACTCCATTGGGGGTAACAGGCGTAAGTAGGTAAGTTATTACTGTATTTGATAAGAAGTTTGCTAATAAGTTATATAATAGAGTTAATTAATCTATTAATTGTTTACTTGATGTTCACTGGTTCATAGACAGATATTAGTAACACACGCATCAATTTCATCTATCTCAATGTTTTTGTTCAAATAAGTTGACTAGAAAAATAGCGTTTTCAAAACAAACTGTTGGGGTTTTTTATGTGGTCAGGGTATTTAATTACTTTTGCTCCCAAATGCCCTGGTACGGACGAGAGTGGAGAGAGTCCGCACTCCCTCTCCAAATGCTCTCACATGGCCAAGAGTATATAGCCTCTGTCAGAGAAGTCCTACTCACTGCCTTCTCGTGAAGGGGGTGTTGTTTACGAAATTGAAAGAACGAAAAGTGAATGTCCAGCGCTTTAACCGGGTTGGTGAGCACGGAAAGTTCACCGGCTACCATGGGACTACATCTCCTCACTATGCTCCACTGCCTTGTGGATCATACCTTTAGGTCAAACGCTTCGAGTGTGGCCCCCTAAGAAAATCACCTGCTTCAGTTTGGGCAGCTAGGCAGCATCACAGCCCTCACACAAATCAAGTGAGATTTGTGTGGAGCATATATATCTGATACACCCTTGTACTAATATTTATGTATTTAAATAAATAAATAATAAATAATTTAATTATTTTAGCAATGATAAATCACTAATATTAATACAAGGATAGTAGTCGATGACAGAAAAAATATTTCATGTAGATTTCAATATAGATTGATGTCTGGTCGGCGGCCTATGCTCTATCGGGAGTAGCAAGCGTGAGTAAGCAAAGTAAATAAGAACTATGTACAACATATTCTTCAATAAATACTTATGAAGTTGTTTCTATCATTTGAAAAAGATTTTTACTGATATACAATAATGTACTCAAATTATATTAAGTAATTGAATACTTATATTTATGAATATAAAATGATAAACATTGAATGATATTACCTTTCTTTACGTGCATTAGCTAATTGACCATTTATCATTTCAGCTTGTTGTTTTAAATTATCAATTATACTTCTAGAAGACAATGGAAATAAGACAAAGAATTAACTTATACATAGTAACTAATTGTTCAAAACTGATTTGATTGGATAATAATAAATAATGGAGAAGATTTATAGCTTCGGTGGGTGATTTTGATAAAGTTTTATTTTACTGAGTTGGATGGTTTGGTCGTGGAACTTTCATCGTCCTTCTGAACAACATCATCAGCACAGACTTCGGGTAAGGTCAATATTTCACTTTCTTGGTTTACAAAAAATCTACACCATTATTAGTTTGTATTTTTATAAAATTGACTTTTTGTACAGAAATATCAATAATATCTTTCATAGTTGAAATCATGAGTCAATTGAAGCTAGACTACCATGGAAAACCTGGAAGCACTGGATGGCTCATAATTTCAACTATGAAAAATACTGAAATGCTTCAAAGAACTCCTTCTGATAATAATAACTTTCATTGTACCTGATAAGTAAAGTTTTAAGTGTTTGGTTTAAGCTCTGGCTAGTACTAAGTAACATACCAACATTCATGTGAATCTAACCAGAATGTTATAGAAAAGGATGAAAGTTACACAACTTAAATTTCCTTTCTGGTAACTGGGTAATGATGTTAACTAGAAATAGTCCATAGATTATTTCGATATCAAATATAGCAACATTAAAAATCTGTAAGAAACGTTTACTAAACAAAAGTATTATTAGATTTATGGATGGAAGACCAAAGAACACATTACGCCAAGAAATGGAGACAGACATGAGAAGAATGAACAAAAGTTGGATAGAACTAGAAAGGAAGGCTCAGGACAGAGTGGGTTGGAAAATGCTGGTCTGCGGCTTATGCTTCATTGGGAGGAACAGGCATAAGGATGATTTATCTACTCTCTTCAATTATGGATCCGTTTTTGAATGATCACTTACATGGTGTTTACCTTAACACTGTCATGTGGATGAGTGTATAAGATGAACATATTCAGTTATATATATACCAAGAGTATGCATTGACTGGTTAAAATGGGAAACAAAACCTTTATATACATAAACAAAGAACTTGTTTGATATATCTGAATCCTGGCCATTTTAGCCTCATTTAGCCAGACCGTTGCGGCTACCTTGACGCGGTGGTCGGGCTTGCCTATCGTGATGAACCGATCGAGCTATACTGGCTGGAGCAATCGTTCCTAAAGGTCCTACCATGCCAGACAGGTCGGTTGAAGAGCAGTAAGAATAAAAGCAGCAATCCCAAGGTCCGAAGGCGAATTCGTACTGCTGACTGTACAGAGGTGTGACGACAGTAAGGTGTTTTCTTCAGACAACCAGCATGACAGCGATGCTGCCTTCCAACAGGGAGGGGTGGGGTTAGAAAAGGTCGACCCTAAAAATGCACATCTCACCTTATCCCACGGATTTCCTTCTCCGGCGGTAAGGTCCTTTGAAGAACGGAGCTAACACGTCAAAAGTCCCCCACAAAAAGGCCGTGCGTGACCGACCTCAAGTCAGTCAGTCACAACGTAGAACTTCGTACGTACATACATCAGTTCGAATTGTCATACCACATTAGCACAGAGATCCAGTTGTCCATTCAAATTCCATAGTCGTAGAAGTAGTAAGAGTATAAGCAGTAATCAGAAAGATTAGGGTTTGAAGATGATATTGAAGGAGTATAATCCAATGAAATAAATTTGGAAAGAGAAAAAAGAAAGGGACATGAAGAATTCAGAAGATTAGAAGTTGGTAAAACACAATAAGTGGATGCACCTGCTACATTGCAAACGATTTTGAGCCATGTCATTCAAGGTCCCTCACCATCGGTTGATATCATCTCGCTGATCCCAACCAGGTAGTCTACACTTACCAACATGGCTCAGTCTAATTGTCAGTGACTTCATCGATTTGTGCCACGTTTTAGTCCGGCCGCCCGTAGCTTTCTTCCAACCTACTCCTACACCGTAAAACATCGCACTTCAAGGCAGTCGGTGGTTGGGTATACGTAGTACGTGTCCCAGCCATCTCAACTAGTGAAGTTTCACTACTTCGTCAATCGATATCATGAAACATCATTTTATGAGATCGACAGTTTCAAACGTTCTCGTATAGACAAGTTTTGTTATTATTCTGAGACTACAATGATCTATACCAATGAATTGATGGATTAAAAGTTTAAATACTAGGCTAATCCTCATTTAAAAACTACATTCATTTGATGAATCATAAACAAAATGTAACACGCATCATAAAATTTCATTAAAAGTCAACTTTGAATGAAATGACTAGCAAAAAGCTGATCAATTTCAGTCCTAAACAACCATGGAAAGATACAAGCAAACAACACCAAGTGATCAGAAGGGGGTTTTGTGTAGATTTTAGTAATTTTATATAGTTGAGATTATGAGTCAATTGAAGCTAGACCACCATGGAAAACCTAGAAGCACTGGACGGCCGTTTCGTCCTATTGCGAGATTCCTAGGGAGATTTGAACCCAGGACTACCAGTCTCGCGCCACAGCACTTAAGCGATAGATCACTGAGCCGACGGTGTTAATGTCTAACCTCAACCGATCCATGAAATCGAGCGACCAACTTCCATCGTACTGAGATAGATACTTGTCTCTACCTGACATTGATTAGCCCCACTGGTCACTACTTCTCACTAGAACTCCATGGTGGTCTAGCTTCAATTCACTCATGATCTCGACTATATAAAACATTAAGTGAATTTAAACTTCACTCTATTGCCCAAGCTAATTGTTATTTAGACTCAGTAGCTAAGTAGATAACACGATGGCGTTTGGAGTGAACGGTACACTGAGATGTGAGAAATCCTAGCTGACGAATCCCAAATAGAAGGGAATGTGTATCCTAGATTCCACTGCTAACCATTATTCATTTTTACTTAGTATCAAAACCTTGGATTATACACTGTTTATTTGTTTAACTTGATTAAATTATAAAAATTAATCATTACATACTTATTTGATACGTTTAAATTGTCCATTTTTTCAAGCATTTCATTAATTTGATCTTGAAGTTCAGCTGTCTTTTCTGCTTTCATCATATATTCCTTTTCAACTTGTATTACTCTAGAGATATAAAATATAAACTATTAACTTATAGAAAGCAAAGTAAAGTACTTGTAAGTGGGAAAAAAGTTAAAACTGATAAGAAATTGACTGATTAGATAGAAAGTTGTATCATTGTTAGGATGTATTCTAGACGTATATGTGGTAGCCGTTGACCGACGATTGATTCATACGCCATTTGTTCCCTCAAGATACTGGAGCCCATGTGTTTCATTGGTTTGGAATTAGGGTTTTCCAACTCCCCTTAGTGGACATTCCGTATCAACTAACCCGGTTAAACTGCCGGACATTCACTTTTCGTCCTCTCAATTTCGTAAACAACACCCCCGTCACGAGAAGGCGTTGAGTAGGACTTCCCTGACAGAGGTTGTGTATGTGTGGCCATGTGAGAGCATTTGGAGAGGGAGGGCGGACTCTCTCCACTCTCGGCCGTACCAGGGCATTTCGGTGAATGAACTATATACTCAGTTGATAATTTTGAAAATTAAATGGAAAAGGTTTACTTATAGCATGATTTATCACAGGGTAATTATCCACAAATGTTAAGTATCGAATAGTAAATTTAAGTACTAAGCAGGTCAATAATGTTTTACTGATATGTGATAATTCATTCTCTACTAGAAAAAGAAATGCGATACTGACCAGTGGAGGATTTAATACAACAGTAATCTATGAAGTCCCTTACTGTTTGTTTAAACTATTTAATGAATTCTACAATTTTTGGCCGAAGCCAACAAGATATTGCGAATTTATAGTAAAAAAAAGTGACTTGAATTCAGGTTAAGCCTTTTATGTATGTAGGATCTTTTGTTGGTCATCAGTCAAACTGTTCTCTTTCTTTACTTAATCTAGTTCGCTTGAATTTATCTCTCGGTAGGAGACAACTTTTCCATGAAAGCGCTGACCAGAAATAATCGTTTAAACCATTTAAACTCTGCCCTAGGAGTTGGTCTATCTTCATTTATAAGAATCATGAAGCCTCGTGGTGAAAGCTGAGATACTTTGAAAGCCATGACGCCAATGCCCCTTCTAACAATCAGAGTAATAATTAATATAAGTACATGAAATATAGATACATGTCCGGACAATGAGGGAGACTGGTAGGACTAACGAATTAGCTGAGAGATAGAATTTAGTGGCGCTCAAAATAAGTGGAACCTATTGAACTCAAATTAGACAGAATAAATTAAGTTCGGATGATTTGTTGTTGTATCTCAGTCGTGAAGAAGAAAATGCCTCCTACACACTAGGAGCTGCACTCATGCTGTTCATAAAAGCACGGAAAACACTTATAGGATAGGAATCTCATCGATCCAGAATAGAATAGTTCGGCTTGCAGCATTGTGAATTATTGTGACTGTACACGAATGCATCAACTAGAAAATTTTTGGAATACCTACATTTAACGCATTGGCTTAAAGGTAGTCTTCCCGTCGTCAAATCTGAACCCCATATATCAGAAGCTTACTTCTTTTAGACCTGAGTGGTGAAACTTTATCTAAACCGACAATGAAAGCTGTGTAAATAAACCATGAGGTTAGAACCTGAACATTACTAATAGGTATTAGGAAGAAAGAATATGATTGTCGTAACATTGAACCTAGGAGCAAGATTATTATGAAACCAATCCAAGAGTTCTGATCGACTTGACCAGTTATCACAAAGATCCATAATTTCTTATAAAACTCAGACTAATGGACCAATGAGTTGCCACAATATGACAGTCTCAAGAGGTTCAAAGTCCTTAATTTTCGAGCAATGTGGTATTTTGATGATTGTGATGATTGGAAATGGAGGAATTGTATGTCAACATTCATTTTCACAAACCTTATTCCTAATCTGACCATTTCTTATGTATTGAAAACTATTACAGATAAGTTAATGTTTTAAGGCATAGATGACTGAAACCTCTTTATATGGTTAGCCCTGATTAACCATTACCCTTATATGTATACTAGAAACTAAGTCACTATTTCATTATATCCTCCTCTCTTGATGAATTTCAGAGTAGCTCATGTTAGTTTTGCTTATTTCAATAAACTACTTATTATTTAAATAGTAGCACAAAATGCTTTCAAAAAATATTTTACCTGTATTAGTAAAAAACGCTTACTCTGTTTCTTTTTTCTTGAAAACTTTTTGTAGTTTATCCTTATCAGATTCATAACGTTGTTCATCTAAAACAACATATCATGTTACAATTACTTTAATTTCATTCCAATCGAAAAATAAGTCAACCCTAAACAATGATTACCTTACAATGAGTAAAGATGTATACTATGAACCATAATTAGGCCGTTTTACATAATTCAAGATTTATAAAGTATCAGGAATATGCATATATTTGCACTAGGATTTATATATATATGTATATATATAGTTTTAGCAACTGCTGTGTAAATACGTCAAACTTAGGGAAGTTCATACCAGAATGATCGTGAAAATACCCCCAGATGAATAGGGGAAGGTGTCACAAAATCTATGTAGTAGCGTCAACTTTTCTAACCTGATATGCTAAAGATCATTGTATCAAAGTGGGGGAAGCGTTGTTAACTTAAAACCAGGTTCCAAATAATTTATCAAGAAGCATAGAAGTGGTCATCCTTGGATCAAATGAAATAAACAGGGACTATGTTTCTGAAAGAAGACCTATTCAAGTACTTTGTTCTCTATGACCTACAATAAAACTCTTATACGAACATACTATAAAAGCTTCACATTACCGCCCTCCCCCCCTTCCCAACAATATTCTGTTTACAACTGCTCAACTCTGTTTATATAAGATATCCTTAATCTAGTATTCATCTTTCTCAATTTCGTACCGTTGCATAACATTCCTCCATTTTATAATGAAGAGTGACGTCTGAGATCCCACACTTCTTGTTTAAGTCTAAATCGACATACGTCATATAGCCCAAGAACAATAGACCAGAAACCTCACTTTTATACAACATAGTAAGCTATGCTTATTATTCAGTCTCAATCATCACTATAGAATAGTATGATTGACTGGCCAGCATAAGCTACTGTTGTTATCTTAATTAGTAGTAAATAAACTGGAGAAGGTCACTGCAGTTGACTTTTGTACAATACCAAAATTAAACCTTAAACTTTTAATTAGTATTAAGGAAGAGACTACAATTTATAGACGAATCAATCACGAATAAGATAACCGGTCTCGAGTTTTGGCGCGCAATTCACCCATCCTTTCGGCTAAATAACGTTTTGGCATTTTACCTGATGTTAGTTCGTGATGAAAACCCTAAATCTAATTCCTAACCTCAACCATCAACTGTAAATCATAATTCTAATCTATTACACTGATATATAATCCTCATTTGGTCCTAGTTATTCGGCGGATACCCTTATGGTCACTTTAACATCGCTCAAAGATCGTCCATAAATAATGGTCTCACCGTGTCAAACTGATTAAAAAAAATTATAGTTTGGACGTGCTTAAACATTTAAAGTATTGGATTTATATGTTTGAATTTTCATGTCCTAAGCTGACAGAAATTGGAGTCATAGAGAAAAAAAGATGGCTTTTCGAAAGTTTCATGCAGTTAGTTCCTTTCTTAACAGAGATGAATACATCAGCAAAGTTATATCCATTTTAAATGATTCTACTAGATTTATAATCGACAACACCCAGAAAGACTTAACAAATGCAACTGAGAAGCGTCTCTTAAAAAAATTGATAGAACTGTTGAAGAAAAGTCTAATAGATAACCATACATATAACGAACTCAAAACAAAAGAATCACAATTACCATACTTATACGGTCTACCCAAAATACACAAAACCGACATCCTGATGAGACCAATAATATCTATGACCAAATCACCCTTTCATAAACTCACCCGCTGGCTGACAAGGTGCTTGGAACCAATCCGCAAGAAACTAGCACCCTATAGCCTGAAAGATAGTTTTGAATTTGTACAAAAACTTGATAATATAAATGCTTCTGATAAATTCATGGTCTTATTTGACGTCTCATCGCTTTTCACAAATATACCCTTAGATGAAACGGCAGAAATCCTAGGTGAATATTCTGAACTTTTACCTTTACCAATCCATGAATTCAAACAGCTCCTGTTTCTGTGTACAAAGAACATACAACTCAAATTCAACAATGTATTCTACCGTCAAATTGATGGAGTAGCCATGGGTTGCCCTTTGGGTCCAATTCTGGCCGACATATTTATGGGAAACCTCGAACACAAGAAGCCTAAGCATGCCATCGATAGTACCACACTATACTGTATATACGTGGATGACACTTTTCTTGTATGCAACACTCCATCAATCTGCTCAGTTTGTTTAATAAAGCACACAAGGATATAGAATTTACCATGGAACATGAAGTCGAAGATAAATTCCATTTCCTAGATATTGGAATTAGACAAACACCAATGGGTACATTACAAAGATACGTTCATCATAAAAACACTTGGAGTGCACTATATCTCAATTACTACCTGCATTAATATTTGTTCTGTCTTTATTTAAAAAAAGATGATTGAATTGCTGTTTCGTGCAGTCTTTAGAACCTCTCATCAGTATTGAATAGTAAACTAACATAGAGTCAAATCCAGGATAATTATGCCTTGGAATGAGTATTGTATATCTAGACCAATAATTCATAACCAAATGGTTCTGCTTCAAGAATTTAGAAAGATCGTTCAAATTATCATCAGTCTGACTAATGATATATGTCTCAATCCCGGTATGGTTTAACTCTGCTAATCACTGTCAAGTCGGTTATTTACAGAAACTAAACTACCATTATTATAACCATTATCCGCATTGTTTTATTATTAAACATAATGTAAAAATTATGACCCATATTCTTACAATTGAAGAACATATGGGAATCGCAACTATTGTCAACCATTATCAAAGTCACAATCTTCAATACAAACGTCAAGATAGTCCTATTGTACGAAGCTGAGATGTGGGGAATTACTATAACCATCATCAACAAGATACAAGTATTTATAAACAATCGTCTACGCAAAATACTCAACATTCATTGGTCGAACACAGTCAGTAACAACCTTCTGTGGGAGAGGACAAACCATCGTCCAGTTGAAGAGGAAATTAGGAAAATACGTTGGAAGTGGATAGGATGAGGATTGTGGAAATCACCAAACTGCATCACGAGTCAAGCCCTAACTTGGAAACCTTAAGGGGAACGGAAAAGTGGAAGTCTGAAGAGCACACCACGTCGGGAATTGGAAGCAGATATGAAAAAGATGAATAGGAACTGGAAAATATTGTTCAGGACAGGATTGGATGGAGAGTGCTGGTGGTTAACCTATGCTCCCCCATGAGGGATAACAGGCGTAATTAAGTAAGTAATGATTATAACAGTCTTAGATAAATTTTGTGGAAAAAAAGACATTTTATAGTTAAGATCATTAGTCAATTGAAGCTAGACCACCGTGGAAAACCTGGAAGCACTGGACGGCTGTCTGTTCCACGGTGGTCTAGCTTCAATTGACTCATGATCTTAACCATAAAATTACTAAATCTCCACAAACACCCCCTTGTGAAAAGACATTTTGCTTAATTTAAACTAACCGGCTTTTAAAATCTCCTTTTTCTTTTCATATGCTTCAATGTTTGTGATCGAGGTCTCTTGTGATTCTTCAATCTATGAAAAGTTGTCAACAATAGTGTAAGATGGCTGACAGAAAAAAACTTATAGATTCAATGTGTTCATACTAGTTGGATAATGTAGTTTACTTATTGAGCATTACTTATTTACTTACGCCTGTTACTCCCAATGGAGCATAGGCCGTCGACTAGCTTTCTCTTAACCACTCTGTCCTGGGCCTTCTTTTCTAGTTCTATCCAGTTTTTGTTTTTTTGTTTTTTTAGGACCGGCAGTAGCCTCCGGAGGAGCTACAGACGGAGTTACTTATTGAGAATAGGTTAATGTAACTGTTAAGTAAATGCTCATTTAAGATTAAATAGTCTAGCAAATAGTAGCCGATAACTGGTTTGAACCAGAGACCATAACTGTTGAAAGTCTCTAGACAGGTTCTCATTACTTTGATGGGATAGTTAACTGTCATAAAGTTATGTAATAAATGTAACCTTGAAATAACTACCATTATTATTTCTTTTATTATTGTTATTTGTTTGAATCTTCCCAGAGTGATCATCAACTCTGAGATGAAGGTACATCCAGCTGATGAGTCCCGAATAGGACGAAGTGGCGCGCATCCTGGATTCCACTGCTAACTATTATCCATTTTTGCTTATCATGCTTGTGAATCAAGGCTATATCGAGGCAATACGCACAGTATGCACATATGCCAATTAGATACTGACCAGTTGCAGTCCTAACACATCGTTGGGAAGATTCAAACAAACAATACTAAATGAATTTAAACTTCACCCTATTGCACAAGCAAGTGGCTATCAGGACTCAGTGGTCGAGTGGATAACGCGATGACGTTTGAAGCGAAGGTACTGGGTTCGAGTCTCAGAGTGAACATCGACTCTGAGATGCAGGTACATCCAGCTGACGAGTCCCAAATAGGACGAAGTGGCGCGCATCCTGGATTCCACTACTAGCCACTATCCATCTTTGTTTATAATGGAAGGTCACCTTAAATTATTCCGTAACTGATCAACTTTCGAACTAAGCATAGAAACATACCTTTTTTAATTCTTTTCTTATATTTTCTAAACTTTCTTCATGTTCTTCTAACATTTTATTCAATGATTGTTGTATGAAATCACTGAAATGAATAAATAGTTCATCAGTTATAGAAATGACATAGCCTCCTTGAATATCTGAGGTATCTGTTTCTATCATCTAGATATTTCAAACAAGGTAATTGTTTATTTGTTTGTTTTGACAGTAAAGGCAAAGATTGATAAAGCAAGGCCAGTATTTCTACAGTTGAAGAAAATATGGGACTCAAAACAACTCTCAACCAATTTCAAGGTCAAGACAGTCCTACTTTATGGAGCTGAAACGTGGAGAACTACTACGACTGTCATCAGGAAGGTACAAGTATTTATATACAGTTGTTTGTCCAAAATACTCAATATCCATTGGCCGGATACTATCAGCAACAGCGTTTTATGGGAGAGGACAAACCAGCCTCCATCTGAAGAGGAAATTCGGAAAAATCGTTGGAAGTGGATTGGACATACATTAAGGAAATCACCAATGTGCATCATGAGGCAATCCCTAACTTGGAATCCTGAAGGAAAGAGGAAAGCAGGAAGGTCGAAGAACACATTACTCCGGAAAATTAAAGCACATATGAAAAGGATGAATGTTAACTGTAAAGAACTGGAAAGGATTAGGTAGGACAGAGTTTGATGAAGAATGTTGATCGACGGTCTATGCTCCTTCACGAGGAGTAACAGACATAAGTAAGTAAGTTGTTTTAACAGATCATTATGTCAATTAATTGTATAAGCTATTCAAGTGCGTTTGTGAAAAGTTCACGACCTTTCGCTAAACAAGTTACAAAAGTGTGCAATCAGAGACATCATAGTTGCTGGCTGTACGTATCGAAAAGAATGTACATTATTCAGAGGTTAATTCCTGAACTGCTAACATCTAAAATTCGTGATCACTCAATATTGATCGTCAAGATTGATCAAGAAATAGGGAATGGAAACTTGTTGAAAATATCATTTTAAAACAAAAATTCAAGACTTCAATTGATATGTATATCTCTATGTATATTGATATTTATACCCTACTCAGTAAGTGAGTTCATTCATGGTTATTCATGTAGTGAATAAAATTGAAAGTGGTGTAATTACTTACCGATTACATTAAACGATTATAGATAATATGTTATAAATTTAAAGATGGTGGAAAGTGTGGATAGTTGGATTTTACTTCAGTAGCTGAATAGTATCATAATCGCCATTACAACTTAAGGTTCTTCAAGAGTACATAGAACATGTTTATGTTATTACAACGAACTTGCCAGTATTATTCGATTAGAAAACGTTAGTACATGCCTTCAAATGCTTTAGTACGGCCAAGAGTGGGGAGAGTCCACTCTCAGTCTCTCTCCGAATGCTCTCACATGGCCACGCGTATATAGCCTCTACCAGGGAAGTCCTACTCACTGCCTTCTCATGGCATTACTGTTATTTACGAAATTGAGAGGACGAAAAGTGAATGTTTGACACTCTAACCGGGTTGGTGGACACGAAGAGTCCACCCCAGAGGAGTTAGAAAACCTTAATTCCAAACCAATGGTGCACATGAGCTCCAGGATCCTGAGATACTATTAGCAACAGCATTTTATGCATGAGGACAAACCAGATTCCAGCTGGAGAGGAAATTAAGAAAAGATATTGGAAGTGGATAGGACATACATTAAGGAAATCACCAAACTGTATCACGAGGTAATCCCTAACTTGGAATCCTGAAGGAAAGAGGAAAGCAGGAAGACCAAAGAACATATTACATCAAGAAATAGAAGCACATATGAAAAGGATGAATGTTAACTGTAAAGAACTGGAAAGGATTGTCCATGATAGAGTTGGGTAAAGAATGCTTGTGGTTAGCCTATGCTCCCCCTTCACGAGGGATAAAAGGCGTAAGTAAGATCTATGAACAGATTTAACATACTACTAATCATTATACAAGTAATCATCATTAACTAACCGTTTTTCTTCAGCTGTTTTAATTTCTATTTCTTTCTTTTGTATTGTATTTAATAAAGCTGATTTACGTATTTTATATTCATGTATATTATTGTGTAATTCATCAACATTATTGGATAATGAATATTCTTCAAATCTTTTATTACGTAATAATTCATTAAGTTCTTGATGAGGTCTATGAATGATAAACATTGTCATGTTAGTATTATACAAAATGTCTAATCAATCAATCAATAAGCTCGAACACTTAATCAATCTCTAGACCATTGAGCTGGCCGGTATCCAACGGTGTTGAGATGGCATTAATGGGTTATTTGAATTTATGAGTTAATTGAAGCTAGACAACTAGAGAAAACCTACAAGTACTGTAAATTTGTTTCATCCTAGTAGGGGATGCGTCAGTAATGTGAATCCACGAGGGATTCGAACTTAAGACATTTGGTTTCACATACAAATGCTTAATCTCTAGACCATTGAGTTGGCATACAACGATGTTAATATCTTACTTCAACTAATCTACGAAATTGAGCGATACATTCACTATTGTCTTCAGTGAGTTAGTATCTTACAACAGACTTGGTTGAACTCCACTGATCACTGCTCCTCACTCGAACGCTATGAAATATAAAGTTGTCTTCTTCTATATGTCGATAAAGTACTCTTATTACATTTTAATGAGTAGCAGGTAGAAATTATCAGGTAATCATAGCAAACAATTGAATCAGTAGAAGTAATCAATGCTAAGTTTAATTCACAATCCTGAAAAATTAGTTTTATTACAAGTTACTACAGTAGGATAGTTTTCAAATATGATAAACACATTTGGAGTTTTTAATATAGTTGAAATCATGAGTCAATTGAAGATAGACCACCAGGGGAAACCTGGAAGCACTGGATGGCCGTTTCGTCCTATTGTAAGACTCCTCAGCAGTGAGCATCCACGATCCTGCCTCGCGAGATTCAAATCCAGAACCTACCAGTCTCGCTTCAGAGCACTTAACCGATAGACCACTGATTTGGCCGGCATCCAACCGTATTAATGTCTAACTTTAACTGATCCATAAAGTTTGAGCAACCATTCACCAATTGTCTTCAGTGAGTTGATATCTCATAACAGACATGATTTGAACTCCAATGTTCACTGCTTCCCACTAGAACTCCAGGAAAAATCTCTTGAAGTCAGTTACTAGTGAGCATATGATTCCCTAATTGTCAGTCTATGATTTAAAACTCCAAATTTACAATCAAAAATCTATGACAAAATATACTCTGTAATAACTGATATACTATTACAATTATGATGAGGAAATGAACACCTATGAACTGTAATGGATGACTGAATAAGTCAATCATTAAGTATAATGTTGACACTATTTAATCACTGGATAGTAAATGATGAAATATTCTATACTTTAATGATTGTTGTTTATTTGTGAATATTGAATATTATCAAGTTACAAATAAAGTGAAATACACTACTTTGATGGAGTTTTGTTCTATGAGCTGGATAGTTTTGATCGTCGAGTTTTCATCGTTCTTCTGAACGGTACTATCAGCATAAATTTCAAGTAGAATTGAAGTATTCAAAACTCTATCAAAATTATTCACATGAACTACAAATCTTCTCCACTATCTTTAACAAATTATATTGGTTGTTTCACCATTGATTGATCACTGAGTGGTGATTAATGTCATGCCTGTCAAGTCCGTCTTAGTGCTGATCGAATGATATTGATCAAGTTGCAATATGGCCACTAGTTTAAGTGACTCGACACTGCATGCACTATGTTGAGATAAGATGGTGGTTGGAGATGGTCAACAGGAAACCCTAGAGCCGGGTTTCGTGCTACTTGGCACTTTTCAGCAAGGTGTCCCTGTAATCTTGAGGGAACTGGTGCTCCCTGACAGATTCGATCCCGTGTCACTCAGCTTCACAGTCAGAGACGTTACCACCAAGCTATCTGGGCCGCGACCGACCTCCTGTAGGACTGAGATGTAATCACAATTTATTGATCGCTGGGTGGTGATCAATGTCATGCGTGTCAAGTCCGTCTTAGTGCTGATCTAATGCTATCGATCAAGATTACAGGTACACATTGCTGACAAGTGCCAAGTAGCACGAAACCCGGGTCCAGGGTTTCCTGTTGGCCACCTCTAAACACCAACTTATATTGGATGTTTACTTACATTTCTAATGTTTTGTTTTTTTCATTTTGAACATTGAGCGCTTTTTCTAGTTTTCTCTGTAAATAAAAAAAAACAAAATTGTACCTTCATAAAATGTAATTTTTAAAGATAATCTATTAATAAGGGTAAGGGTTTTAATTTAGCTAAATGGAAACCAAAAAGCTTGTGATCAAAGTAATATATAACAGAATATAATCTCACCTAAAATCTGAGTATACTACCTAATACTGATAAGGTAAAGGTTATGGAATGCCTTGGTCATGGTATATGTGTGTTATATCGATCGCGTCTACGTGTGTTCGTGCCCAGTTGTTATCTCGATTGAGTGCGTTCTTGCCTAGTTGCTATAAATGAACGTGCTGATCCCCGCCAATGAGAGATAAGTGAATTATAGATCAGAGCAATGATACACAAAAACCGTATAAGCAATTTTGAGAACTTATCAGTTCTGCTTTCTATCTAGCCCATCCGGTTAAATCCAGAAGAGCCTCTGCGGTATGAATCATTATATTTCAAACATATTGAGTTTATATATCAAACAGTGTGTCAGTCATGGATAGTGGTTAGCGGTGGAATCCAGGAAGCGCGTTTTGTCCTATTTGGGACTCATCAGCTGGATGTACCTGCATCTCAAATTTGATGTTCACTCTGAGACTCGAACCCAGTACCTTCGCTTCAAACGCCATTGCGTTATCCACTCGACCACTGAGTCCTGATAGCCACTTGCTTGTGCAATAGGGTGAAGTTTAAATTCATTTAGTATTGTTTGTTTGAATCTTCTCATGGAACCCATCCATCTCTGCTTACCATGCTTGTGAATTAAGTCTATGTCGAGGCGATACGCACATTATGCACATATGCCAATAAGAAACTGACCAGTTGCAGTCCTAACACATCGATGGGAAGATTCAAACAAACAATACTAAATGAATTTAGTGTGTCGGTCATATTCTAAGTACAGTCTAACATAAATATGTGCTAATCCTATTTTTCATATCATATTAACACAACAAGATGAATAGCAAAATGGTAGGAGTAACCGTATTATCAATGGGGCTGAGAAAGATTAAACGTTAAGATTATGGTTTGTATAGAAATGAAAAATGTATGTGAGAGAGACTAATGTAACTTATTATCTAAAGTAACATAAAGGTTGGATGCGCCTTCTTCGTGTTACTCAACATTTTCAACTACTAGGGCATATAATGAGCTTTTAAACCACCTGTAAGACAATAAGCATCAAGTATGCTGGACAGCGAAAAAGTAATGGAATGCATAGTGAAAATAAAAGTTGCTGTAAGCCAAGTTTTGGATACTCATTAGTCACAGACAGTTTCAACCCACAAACCACAGATTTGTCAACTATTTACAGTTTGTCAATCAAGAAGTGTTCTACTCTCAGTAACAAACTAGAATAGCTCCCTTGAATTGAAATTACATGTACTAAACATTGATAGAAACAAATTCTACTCCATAAAATAAAAAGAAACTAAGAAATCACAAAAGTTACTTAAATAGTCTAATGTTAATATTTCATTTGGAATATCTAAAAGAATGAGATATCTTTAGCTTGATGGTGAAACAAACATTCTGGTTCCGAATATTTGGTTAGCGATTTTTAGCGAGTTAGATTTTCTACGGGATGGGGTCGCTAACCCCATTCCCAACCCTCCTCCTTTACCCGGGCTTGGGACCGGTAGTAACTCTAGAAGAGCTACAGACGGGGTTTCCCAATATCACGTTCTCCAATTTTTAGTTCCTTTGTCAAGTTTGAGTAAACTTAAAGTTCTTCACTCTGTATAAACTAACTCATAATTAAAAATTACTGGGAGTTATATCCATACCAGACATTCACTACATTCTGGGTTTACGAATGTTTGGTCTACCTATACATGGTACATTTCTTTTATAATATAATTTGACTATTCTAAAATTAGTAAGTAGTAAATATAGTTAAACAAAATTATGAAAATCAATGTTTACCGCTTCTTCTTCCAACATGATAACTTTTCTTACTGCATTTCTACGTTCTTCTGTTATTTCTGCATTTAAATCATCCAACATCTTTTCAGTCTCTTTCACCTATTCAAGGGTAATAGAATTATTTACAATTACTAACCATTGAAATATAAATTTCATTAACATTGGAAATATCAAAATGTATCATTTGTGGTAATATTCTATCAATGAGCAATCTAAGATAGATGAGACTGTTTAAAATAGCTAGTGAATGACAATTCGTGAAAAAAAGTCGATTTTCCAACATAAACTAATGGATTTATTGACTTCCTTTACATCGTCAGAAGATGTGGTGTTGATTACCGTTATTTGTTCACTACATGGAGTAAAAACAGTTCTCTTACTCTCATTCTAACAGCGACTAAATCCATACTCTTTAATTCTATTTCCTAACTTAGATCTAATCAATTGTCGACTTTGAAAATTGAGCCAAGTTAAGGGAGATGGTAGGATATCCTGTTTTCTCAAAAGGTACTTTCTACGACAGATAATCTTACTGATGTGTCAGGAACTAATGTGATTCTATAAATTTGATTGAAAATCACTCTGATCTCTAACTAGTAACGTTAATAATGATTTCTGCACAAATGTTCTTTATCACAATAAAACTTACTTTTCTATTGACTTGTAAACACATTTTATTGATTAGATTTGCCTCAAAAAATAAACTACAACGCGATCTTGATGCTTTCTTATTGTGTATACATCAATAATGTGCCAACACGTATCTGACATATTATCTATTCTAAAAAAGACTTATACTACTCACTAAGAACCTCAAGTAATTCTAATCTTCTGAATTCTTCATGTCTCTATCTCTTTTCTGTTTTCAAATTTGTTTCACTGGATTATACTCTTTGAATAACATCTTCAAACCCTTATCTTTCACATTACTGCCTATACTTTTACTACTTCTACCACTATAGGATTTGAATGGACAACTGGATCTCTGTGCTAATGTGGTATGACAACTCGAACTGACGTACGTACGTACGTACGAAGTTCTACGTTGTGTCTGACTGACTGATAGAATTGTTTGAAGTTTTCCCATTTATTTTTCATCGTGACCGATCAGTTACGTTTGATTAGCATTTGAAAATAAGTTATGTTGATTTTGGTCTATACACAAGTTAATTTCTATAATTAAAAATTTGAATCAGATCATTTTTGTTTTAATCAACTAAAATGATATTGATTCTTAAAAATTGAACATTGAGTTACCTTCAATTCAGTCATTTCAATTTCTTCCATTTTTTGATTCAAAAATATCTGTTTATTTGCCTTGTTATCTAAGCAGTTATTTAAAGCTTCAAGTGTAACACTATTTTCTTCATTTGATTTTAATTCATGAAGTCTAAATTTTAAGGAAATGAAATCAACAGAAAATTTTGAAAATGAATGATTTGGTTAACGTTAAACATTAACATCGTTGGATGCTGGCTCAGTGGTCTCGAGATTAAGAATTTGTGTGCAAGGCCAAAGGTGCTGGGTTTGAATCATGTGATAAATCATTGTCATGACTGTTTAAATTAGAACATTTGAAGAAATTATTGCGAAAAAGTAACAGAAGTAAAACATGAAACAAATAGAAGTGAAATATAAAACTGAAGATAGCCGATGATAAATGAGTCGAAAGGATAGATATGAAGACTAGTTAAACTTTGGTTCTCAGCTTGAAAACACTAATCCTCAATCGACTTTTGAAACTTATATAAAACTTTTAACTGAATATACTTTGTGCAACTATGAAAAGTGTTACTAGCATGTCACTTATGTTGAGAAAACAATCAAATCCCACATTGAAGCGTTTGGGATTTAAGGCAAATAAGTATGACTCAACCACACAATTTGAGAAATACTTTTTGCTGTTTCTAAGGCTCTAACCACTCTGATATAACTCAGCCACTTTGAGACACTATTTAATCATTAAGTTACTTCAATAAATATCGAAAGCCGAAATACTTAAAAGCCTAGCTTAACGCATATTTCAGTAATATAAGCATATGATTGTTAACAAAAACGTTAATTGGCAACTTTTCCTTGCTAAAAATAACTAATCTCCAAAAGTATCTACAAAAGAGAAGTGCCTAAAGGCTAAAATTGAGTTTGAATACAATATTCTGTGGTTGAAAAACATGTGTCTAGAATAATAAACCTTAATATGAAAAAAAATTTGGATGTGACTTCATAAAATACTCAAATTACCGAAATAAAAGCAATGCTTTATGACAAATCATTTTATAATTAAACAGAAGTGGTAGAGAATAGAAAATTAAAGGCAGTATTAAATACAAATAATCTGCCTTTTAAAATATATCATATTTAAACCAATTTTAAGCAAAACATAATAAATAAACCAACAACATTTACGAGAGGTGAAAAGTAACACGAGTAGATACCAATAATATAATACTACACTTCTATCTCGTCATATTCGAGAACAACAAAAAAACATCTGGAAAATTTATCCCAAGGTGAGTGCTAGACTGAATATCCTGTGAACAGAGTTATCATGAACTTATTTTGTAATGGTCTATTTTCATTATTCGCAAATCATTAATAAATTTATATAATTATTACTATTGACTTTCAAATTGTCATTTAAAAAATCTAACCTTGAGCTCCCGTTCCCGTTTTGTGCTCTCATGGAATCACACATCGTTTATCACTCACAAATACACTGTTGCACACATATGCTCCTTGTTCCCACTTATCAGCCATTACGATAATAGGACTCCAGTATACTCGTCACCCGTGTCTACAAATCACACCGATATCCTCATTAATTGATTAATCTGGATACACATCTAGGATTATATCGATCATATTTTGAACCATTGACTACCTATAATTGTGGATTACAAACTCCAAAAACGAACAGAAACACGCCTTCCTCTAAAGCTTAAGTAATGTCTCATATTTTTCCTTGTACATAATTTATATTTCAGCATATCATCACTTGCCTCTAACCTTTTTTGTGATAACCTTGTCATTATTTTTGAAACTGAAGTGATATATTTGGTCCACCACAATCTTGAGAAGGGAAGAAGCTTGCTGAATGAGTTACAGTGGGATATGAACCGGACTCTTGAAAAAACCCATTTAGTCTAACGTTTGTGTCAAAAGTACTTTGGAACGTAAACTGAATAGATATGAGTCATAGAGTTTTATAGCTTTTCGGGCTTTATACTAATACAAGATAAACAAATACGTGAACGAATAAATAATTACAGTTCAGCGATATTGACAAGTAATGAATTAAGATTCAGTCAATATCTGACCTTAATAATTTCAGTATACGAGTAAGCTTCTCAAGTGCCTGTTCACTTTCCTCATAATTACTTTTAATGGAGTTCAGAGAATCGCCTAGGTTCTTTAATTCCTTTTCATTCAGCATTTTTACAAGATTTCTTTTGTCTTTGAAGCTCGAATAGTAAAATTTAAACTTTATCTTACCAAAAATTTCTTCTATCTTTTGCTTTTTAAATTCCTGAAGTTTTACCCTCAAAGCGGATGTTTTGATGGACTCCGTTTCAAGAATCTGATGAGCGCAACATCTCATTTTATGCTGTCAAAAGTCAAGAGAGTTTAAATGAACCTACGAGTGATCTTAAATCATTTATTAAGGACTTTATATTATTAACTTCGCTTTCTGTAATAGACTGAATGTTTCCACTATTAACAGTCACATCTATGTAAGAAATCATTATCTTTTGATTTTGAAATACATATGTTCTTGAGCAAAGAAATGGCATTCTGAGATATAGTTGTGTGACTGAATCCAAATGTTTCACATGTCTGTACATCCATTTTGAATAAATGCTAGAGTTTGTTACCAGGTGACGAAAACTTCAAACGGCTTGAGAAATACGTTTTACTTTCAAGCTGTCCATACCTCAGCTTAAAATTTTCTGGGGAGAATTAGAAACCTTTTGCTACGTGAAATCTGAGTTTGGGCAGCTGAAATATAGGTTTGGTTGAGAAGAGGACGAGAGCCGTGCAATTCGATAAAAGTAAATATTTTCACGTGTTAAGACAATAGATTTTTCTTGTGTTTATTATATCGCGAACTACTTTTGGACTATGACTGTACCAAACTGTTTCAGCAAAATCTACTTAGTGGGTATTATTCTCAATACTTGTCATAACCTCATCACTGAGATACCAACAATGCAACCTGTATATGTGACTGAGGAAGCTGCTCTCCGGATTTAGCAAGATACTGGGTCCTAATGGGTTACATTCATGATTGCTTACATTTCTTGCACACACTATCTCAAGACCACTCACGATGCTGCTCAACATGTGCCAACCCTGGAATTGAAAACATGCTAAACTTAATCCTACAATTGAATATGTAAAAAGGTAGACCGTGTCTAACTACTGACCTACCAGTCTAACCAGCATAATACTTGGGTGACTTGAAAAAAAATATATTTCGGGTTAAGTTGCTGAGTCGCATATAACAATGCAATATGTTGATACATGAGTACCACGGGTTTTCAAATAAGTAATCATGCCTAACTAACTTGCTTGTTCCGAGAAATGATGGGACAGGAGCCTAAGATAACGGTTTGCTTTTTGATGTGACATTCATAGGTTTTAGCAAAGAATTTGATAAGGCTTCCCATTTAGATCTTATGCAGAAGCTCTCGAGCTCTGAAATGTGTCCAGTACAATAATGGATAAGAAACTTCCTCTGTGGCCGGAAAAGGAGTGTGAGCGTAGAAGGCACACTATCTGAATGGAAGCCAGTCATATGTGGTGTGTTACAAGGAATTATTTTACGTCCCCTACTTTGTCTTCTCTACTTTAGGGAATTATCGCAACTGTTTAAGTCGTCAACACTGTTGTTTGCAGATGATGTTAAAATCTGGACGGCAATAAATAGAGTTGCTAATCATCTTGATCCCTAAGCCAACTTAGATGAATTAGTTAGACGGTCTCAAAGTTTTGGGTTAGAAACTGATTCTAGAAAGAGTATGCCAATGCCCATTCGGATACGGCAATAGTTACCAGTATGCTTTTAACGGTAAATTGCCTCCATTCGCTGAGGAACACAGAAATTTATGTGTTAGAAGTAATTCATGGTTTAAAACCAGTACATATTGTAAAGTCTAAGCGGCCAGAAGTTTTCACGCGTCATGGTAACTTCGCTGAGCATTAAAAAGCTCTGACGAGATGTTTCAGATTTTATGCTCCATCTAAGTACGACTATACTGATAACACTGCATGTCTTAGTAAGGATTTTGGCACACTTGTGCATGTTCAGCACTTAATAAAAAAGTTAATGAATGGTCTCTACAAACCCCCTTACGATGAATCCCTGAAATTTCTGACCATTTCCTTCTTATCGTATCGTAGAATGAGGCGGACTCATATTTTCATTACGTATCGTTCATAACGATTAGGTTATTCATATGTCTCACCTTTTTGCTCCATTCAGAACTAGTCGACTCCGAAGACATAGCAAGGAGGTCCAAAAATCGCGATCGGAGAAACTTAAACTGGTGTTCCGTTCTTTTTACCTAGTGAACAATATCTTGAAAGCCTTATCCGAACAAGTGGTATTATGGTGTATGCCATTGATGTCGACATATGTAAGTAGCGTGTAATACCAATCAGAAGTGGAAGGTCTGGCAACGGAAAGTGGAGAAGATTGAATTGTAAATCTAAATATAAACAGATAAAAATTGTAATAGCAACAGAAATGAATGGAAGAGTTACAAGAGTTAATTGATGGAAGATGTGCAAATGAAGTGTCTAGTGTATTGTCTTCATATTTTACCAAGACATTCTGTAATTTTGCAACAAATAAGTTGATCTTCCTTACTTGACTGTTTGACTCATCAGTGAATATCTTCAGAGAGAAGCCAAGATCTTCACTGGGAAACAAACTGCAAGTATTACCAAAGGTCCCCCGACCTACTGTCCTTAATGCTGAAGAATGAAGGCTGTTTATTGTCGTATTTCCTTCAGAAACTAGAGGGTAAAACAATCCAGTTAACAAAAGAAGTGATCAAGGAGTAATTCCTGTAATAATATCTCTTTGCATTTACGAAACTGAAGTGATCTCAAGGCCTTCTTTTGAAAGATTTAGTAGAATCTCATAACACGACTTCCCGTACGGAGTTCTTTAGCTCATAGATTCGAACCACGGAAAAGTTTGAACAAAATTTTGTGCAAGCTCTTTCATGTTCTACCTTGAGAAGGTGTCCTCCTAAGTGTGACTTATTAAACAAATGTATCAGTGGTCTAGTCAGGTGGAGATAACTTAAAGCCTTATGAAATTTCATGATCATATACCCTTTAATCCACTCGTACTGGATGGGCTGTAAATTAAGAGCTTCTTGGTGAATTAAATTGAATTTATTTTTATTTCGAATGTATTTTTAGTTGTTGTCCTTTGAACACGTTCCAAGAGAGCTACATCATTCTTTAAATAAATGGACACTATGTGGTTTTTTTAAGTAAGACCTTAGACAGAACCTAGAAGCAATTCTGAATAGTTCCTGAGTCAAGTCACACAGCATTGCGAAATCTGACGGCTTGAAATATCCCATTCAAGTGGTTGTGAGCCACTTCTTTGGAAACTCACTTATACATATATACTTCAGTTCTTGAGACAGAATGTCAGTGTAGAATAGTTGATTGTGTTCCAGTGGGATGGTTCGGCTTTTATAGTCTACCGGACAGCTCATCAAATTTAAATTCATAGGTGAATTTCCTGAGGAAGTAACTGAAGAGTGACTAATCAGTAACTTCTACCATGACCTTCGCCACTGCAGAGCAAAGAAACTGACTGGTAACTAAACGCTTCAAACTTGTCATCCCTCTGAGGTACAGGTGTAACTGCTCTCCTTTTCTAGTCAAAGGGTAACTTACTTCTGACCAAAAAAATTAGAAGAGAGTAGCTGGAGGGAATCTAAGTAGGTTATAAAATTCCATCTGGTCTCTGTGTTGGAAGCCATCTGAGTAATTATATTTACACAAGCTCATTGCCTGAAGATATGTTCGACTTCAAGAGGTTGGAGCTTCACGGAACATAGATTAACGTGGGAAAAGATGAGGAAGAAGTCACCTGACAGAGTTATAGCAGACTGCGAAGAGTTAGATTAAGTGTTCTGGTCAGAAGCCTAGCAGCCGCCTTATTTGAGCTCCGTGAACTTATCAACGTTTTTAGCAATTATAGATTAATCTTCAACCTCTTATTTATTAGTTCTTTCTAATAAAAATACAAAGAGGTGATGCCTACGAATGGTCTTAGTGGGTTAATAGTGAGACATTCAAGTATGAGGGTCGAAAGGTTAGGAGTTTATGTAAAACGTTTGCCGTTAGATTTCTCACCTCTTATAAATGCCGTACTTCCATCAAGCGATTGTTTTCCTCTATTAATAGAACAAAGGAAGTAATGGAATGCCTTGGTTACTGCTGTACAGTATCTGATATTCACTGCGTAAATCAGGCACGACCAAATCTTAGGGTTTGTAGGATTATGGTCTACTTCGTCATTAGTATTACAATAATAATAGATATAATACCAAAACTGTATGTTTGTCATGTGGCTATAAGACCTTACGTGAAAGTCACATCATTGTCTACACTGATTCATCTTGTCGTAATCATCACCAATATATAATGGATAGAACAATATATCTAATATGCACAAAAGATAGGTTGGACAAGGCTGACCACGCCTGCAAGGCTGAGCCATGCCAACTCTATTGAACTGAATTCATTCCTTCCGCCTCCTGCATTGTTGGTTTTTTCTCCGCGTCAAATATTGAATAACTATTTTCCCACTTATCTTGTATTCAGCTTTTAGGATTGTGTGGCTGGGGCCCAATGCCACTACGAGTTTGTTGAGCCACTTAAGATGCGTCTACTCCAATTACATTAGCATTAGCACTTCTCACCGCCTCAATGATTAAGTGTTAACTACGAGACGACGGCTTTTGACATAAGTGGTTGCTTCCAGCTGCTTGGTAGTTTTAAATCTGGTGTGTCACTGAACTTGAGATTGTTGTTATCCCTAAACGACATTATTTCAGAATCAATTATAACGCTGTTTAATATCTTTACAACCTAAACTCGTCTCCCGAATTATTGACAGGGTTTTATCATCAGCTCAGGATATAAGTATGAAAAAAGACATCCTGTCTAATAATCAACCTGTTAGTTTAACTGGTAGTTCTGGTGCTGAAAAATGGTTCCGTACAATTTACAATTTCATGCAGAAGCATATAATCCCGCAAACTCAGAGCAGAATGGTTTTCGAACAGGTTTTAGCACTTTACCAACGTATGAACCACTAGAGAGTAATGGACAGGAACCCAAGATAGTGCTTCATCCATCGATGTTATATTAATATATTTTAGCCAAGCATCAGATTAAATGTTTCATTCGGACCTTGTACATAGGCTTTCCAAAGCTGAGATAAAAATAATAGCACAAAGCTCAATACAGAACATTTATGATCAAAGGCAAGGATGATAGTAAACGAGGCGCTATCTGGATGAAAACTAGTTATAAGTGGTGAAGAACAACGTACCATTTTATGTCTCGTATCGTTTCTCTATGTCAGTGATTCTCCTGTTCATAAATTATGTAAAATTCTATAGGATTTTAGGCTATGTGGCTGATCATCATGATTTCCAAGTCGAGTTGAACAAATTATTTAGATGATTTCAAGGTTGTGGTTTGGAGCTAATGTACACCGAACACCGTTGTAGCCACCATTAGAGCACCTGAGGAACATCGCTCACAGATGTTCGTTAACAAATAGGCCTGAAAGTGGTCTTGAATCATGACTAGAAAACAACCACACATTACAATCTAGAATCGGTCAAACGTTTCTGAGTATTATGATTTCTTCTTAAAGCATTAACCCGAATATCTTTCGAACTTTTTCCCAAACCTATGTGCGGCCTTACCTAGAATACTGTATCCAAGCAGCTTGTCCGAATAAGGATTTTGACACGAGCTTATCCATTGAGTGGGGAATAATTTTGTAACAGGCTTCGACAAACCGTCCTTTGACAGCAACTATGACGATTGAAAGTTTTCCTCTTATCTCATTGCAAAACATTAAATCATCCTTTGCTGACATTCAACAATCGAATTAATTGTTCGAATGTTAACATGTATTCACTTTTTGCTCTATCTATAACTAATAATCTTCGTGATAACAGCAAAAGGGTTCAGAAACAACTGAATAAACGACTAAGACTCACCACCCAAACATGTAGTGGCAGATATATCGGTAAAATATGCCAAATAAAAAACTGGGCTTTTACACACCTCAAATAATAACACAAGTCAGCTGATCTACTATCTTGAAAACCGGATACTGAAGGTTGGAAGCGGTCAGTTCATCATTTTGCGCTACTATGACGAGAACTGGAGACCAGGGTGAACGCGCATTAACTGTAGTGAAGGATACACTCGACGACATCAAAAGTCGTCCCCATCGTCAACAGGTTATTATAGGTGTAGGATCAGGACTGTAAGATTTTAATGAAAGTTTCACATTACTCCAATAGACTTGCGGGTTATATATTCGCGAAGATCGGCAGGGCTGCTGCTCTTCTTTTGGGTGGAAGTCTGATTGCCTTACAAGTATGGGACTTTTTTAAAATTTTCGTTAGAACTCGTTCTTGAGGTTTGTTGGAAAAGGCCACAATAAGAGGTCTAAGTAATGTAATTATTATGATTTAGGTTGTAAATGCTATTCACTTTTTCTATGCAGCTCCGTTCCTTAGAATAACAGTGTTTCAAATGCCATTTAATGTCACTGGCATGTACCACATTATTAAAGTTATATTTGTGCATTCCTACAGACTCAGTTTCCTACCAATATATATAATGGTTTTGTATGTATGTATGTATTACTATCCTTATAAATGACCCATCTGGTTTTTCCTTTTTCCTAACATAATACCACCTTTCCTGGCCTGCAGACTTTACTCGTCAGTTAAAAGTCTATCCTGACTTCATTCTATGGTGTTACTACATCTTAAGTTGGCGAGCTAACATCTATAAGTAAACAACTGAGCTTTATCGAATACGTCATAGTCAACAATTGCTTATTGTATTGAAATTTAAGCATTTTCCTATACACGCGGCTGTCATGAGTTGGTTTGCTTTTATAGTCCACCTGTGACCGATCTATAAATCAGCAGCGTGAGATAAAAAATATGCATAGAATTTTTTTTATCTGGTTATATCATTTAGCGTCTCACTTCCTCATGGACTAACCATACGAATTACATGGTGGTCTAAACGGTCGAAACGATCAAATAAATTGCCTGATCTTGTTTCGAAACCCCATATAAGTGTAGGTGACTGTCGACTATGTGCTCCACATATGTCAGTCTGTTAGGTTGACACAAGTTCACGGTTTAATTAATGATTACCGTGTTTATATTTTTTAGTAACATTAACAATTGTCCATTACCATTATCACTACTATTCTACATTCTTATATAATTTTGTTTAAAATTCTCACTTAGTGTGCCGTCCAGCAAGACGTTATACATATCAATTGGAGGAAAGTGGAACGTGCTGGTGACCGGATACAGTCGAACACACCTGTCATCTTCGAAGGCAAGGTAGGCCCTCAGTGGATTTTGTCCGTGGTTTCAGCATAGTGTTTGATAGTTCTTTTTGTATCTTTGCTTCTTTATTTCATGGCCCACTAATTTTCAAAGTACCTAGTTACTTTCCTAATCAGACGTTTTAGTTGCAATTCTTAAATCCTTGCTAATATTTCAAGTCAAAACTACTGTATATTATTCCTAAATTCCAGATATGCACGCGAAATCAGCAATTGTAGTGGATTTTGTTAGTTTATTCAAAAATGGAAATTGGCTGATTTCTTAAGTATATAACTTGCTGATCTATATGTAGACAAGTAGAAACTTTTTAATCGTATCATATATCATTTTTTTCATCATTATGCCCGTAATTTATTTTCTGACTACTGTTCAGAGATAAAACGAGATCAATATAGTTCCAAGAACGTGTGCATGAAACAGTAAAGGTTCAGAGTTGATAGTCCTAATAAACCACTCGACTCAATGAATTCAGTTGACTAGTCGTAGACCCGTACTCGGTTTATAAGAATTGATTAATGAGGCCATAGGCTTTCATCAACCTAGGTAGTACAAATACTTTATATCCATACCTCACCCATTGTCTACCACATCACTCGATGCTGGGTGCTATAAGAGTAGGTTAAAGGAAAGCCACCAAAGGAAGGCGTGAAACCAGTCCACTAAGTTTTAAACATTCGAACTCGATAATATCGATTAGTGCAGATTTTCATGTTGTAAGCTAATCGTAACCCATGACTAAAAAACGTTAGGTAATATGTCCCAGAATCAGTCGCAGTGGAACAGTTGGATTCAACCTTAGTTAAAATTGTTTAAAATCATGTGCCTATCTTGTTTATTTTATCTCTTGATTTTTTTTAATGTGAGTTGCAGTAACTTAGATCGATATACAATTAGAACAAGTTCCATGCTACCTATTACTGGCTATTAAGTGCAGTTCTAACTCAACAATGACTCAATTGTAAATGTCCAAATCGTATATACTTTGTTGATACGCAGTTTTAATAACGTTGATTTTGTTTCTCCGTCTACTATATTTATAACGTCAGTGAATGTACCCCGTATTTATCTATAGTAACTGTACAAAGTCAATCTCATCTTTCACTGAACTGCTACCGTCCACTTTCGATTGGTACTTGTAATTACATATTAGCTGAAATTGTTAATATTAGACGTTGGATCCTACTTAGTTTATTTACTTGTTTAATTTATTTAAACACATAGGCATTGGTACAAAGAGGTACCAAATAGTTATGCGCCACACAAATCTTTTGATTTGTGTGATGTCTGGAATACTGCTCAGGTATCCAAATCGAAACAAGTGATTTTCTTGGGGAACTACTCGAGCCTTTGACCCAGAATTCTAATCCACAAGGCGGTGGAGTAACATCAGGAGATACAGTCCCATGGTAGTCGGTGACCAACAATAGGTTCATACGCCATTTGTTTCCTCAAGATTCAGGAGCCCATGTGCACCATTAGTTTGGAATCAGAGTTTTCCAGCTCCCCTAGGTAGATCCTCCATATCCACCAACACGGTTTCAGCTCCGGACATTCGCTTTTTGTCCTCTAAGTTTCGTAAACAACACCCGTGGCACGAGAAGGCAGTGACTAGGACAAGTGGCCATGTGAGAGCATTTCGAGAGGTAGATCCGGCTCTCCCCACTTTCGGTCGTCTTGGGGAGGCATCCTACTTAGTAATCAACAACCTAATTGCAACTTAACACAGGATGTTAATGTTTTGAAAACCTTTAAATGTTTACTAACCAATAGTTTCAAAATAGAATAAGACATTCGCTTACTTTTTCTTGGTTATCAACACTATAAGTTGCCACGTTAGTTTAAAGTGAAGATGGGTTTCTTTTTACATTTTCTTGTTTTTTTACAAATTTGCCTACTAGAGAAGTGTTTTATTGTTCAAGAAACTTTTTAAACTTTCATTATAATTCCTTTACTTTTTTCCATGAAAAGCGTGCATTGAAAAATAAAGTTAGTCATACAAGAAATGTGCATGTCGTAGATTGTTGTAAATCATTGTCTTTATATATACGTATTATTACTGGTGATATCTGTGTGTGTTTATAGTTTTGTCATCACATTTTACACTAAGCACCAATCTTTATTCGTTTCCACTTATTTCTTTTCTCCATTTATTGATACACATGATTAATCTTATCAATTGAATGCCATAAAATGTTTGTTTCTGTTCCTTAAGCTGCACAGATGTTACCTGATATATGACATTATAAGCAATTATCGGCGACTTGGTGATCTTTTCGTTCACTTTAACTAATGCTTCCTTAGTTTTGTCATCTGTTTAGACATGCTCCATTAACGGCTTCATGAGAAACATTCTATTTAGTTTGAACTGTCAAAAAAACTTATCAATCCTTTAACGGCCTTAAGTAACTTAATGGTGTTTAGTTTTGGCCATCCAGAATAGTCACAACCTTTGACACTGGACGAATACCTTAAACATCCATGTCATCTCCAACAGAGTCATACTGTATCATCGACAAAAGTAGCAAACATCATGTCAGCATTAGTCAAATATAAGGTTTATTTATTTATTTAAACACAAATATTGGTACAAAAAAGGACCAGATAAATATGCGCCTCACAAATCTCATTTGATTTGTGTGAGGGCTGTGATACTGCCCAGGTGCCTTTGATCTAGAGATCTGATCCACAAAGCAGTGAAGCATCGTAAGGAGATGCAGTCCCATGGTAACCGGTGACCAACAATAGGTTCATACGCCATTTGTTTCCTCAAGATTCAGGAGCCCATGTGCACCATTAGTTTGGAATCAGAGTTTTCCAGCTCCCCTAGGTAGATCCTCCATATCCACCAACACGGTTTCAGCTCCGGACGCGCGCTTTTCGTCTTCTCAGTTTCGTGAACAACCTCCATCACGAGTAAGTAGTGATTAGAACTTCCTTGGTAGTGACTATATGTGCACGTGGTCATATGAAAGCATTCCAAGAGGGAGACAGGACTCTCTCCACCTTTCTGGACTCACAATTGTCCCAAATTATTAACTACTTAGAATATCTGATACAAGCGGAAATGGCATGTTACAAAGATCAATACGGCAAATTTCTACAACATTTCAATCATAATACTATCTGATATAATCGAAGAGAGTAGGCAGGCATTTAAGAAAAGTTCGATATTCCACAAAGTCGAAATAGTGATACAACAAATCATTATATATAACTATAACCTTAGAGCGTATGACAAAAATAATAGACTAAAAGAAAAGGTGACTAGTTTGATAACAGCAAAAGCCAGTGAGGTAATATAAATTCAAAAAGTTATTAAGGCCCTTTTAACACTAACAAAATGGATACCTTTTTACTGAACTGTGGAATTTCTAGAATACCTAAACGACTAATGTGATATGCTTGAGCTAGTTCGATTTTCTTGATAAACGAAGTTCAGTGACACGATAGGCTAATCTAATCCGTTGTCCCAGGCCCCGCTAACTAGAGGAAGAAGTCCAAGGCGAAGTAGGGGAATATATATTCCGTAAGCAGCCGAGTACAAGAAAATCATAAGGGGAAAAACTCAAACGTATATATACAGCGATAAATTACAAAATTAAGCCATTTACCAAGTAGTAAGTTCTGGGGATTTGACATCCCCAACATAATGTACACGAAAATATTTTACTTCTCATTTTTATTTACTCTCCCACTTTCTATATTTCTTAATGTTTCAATCTTTTACTCGGTGTTAAGAATGGTGCATTATTTTGTGTGTGTAATTACTTAGTGTTAATGAAATTAAAATGTTATCATGTGCGTATACATGAATGAATAATAATTTAAATCGTTTGAGCTTTAAGAAAATTATGATTTGGAAAGATCTGGGTTTTTTTGTTTTCGGTTCTCTCACTGGTTACTTGTAGCTCAAAAAACCCCACCTTATGATGCTGTTTTGAATTCGTATGTTTGATATTCAATATTTTTGCTTACTGCTTCAGTGAACAATATGGTGAAAAAAGCTGTCCAAACATATATGTAGGATAGATACGATTAGGAGTAAAATCAGTGATAACTACTACTAGCCTAATTGTTATTATGAGGCGCATATGTATTTGGTGCCCTCTTGTATCAATGTTTATGTGTCCAAATAAATAAATACAATTAACAGTGTTCAGTATAAAGGTTTATAAGACTTTCTACCCAACTTTGCATGCTGGAAATAAGTAAACATGTATTTTTGAAAACTCTGAAATTCCGAACGAAATCACAAGAAATACAATGAGGCTACTACTCTCTTAGATCAATCATTCAGCTTTTTAATAAACTCTAGTGTTTTTACAAATTTCAAGTCATTCATGAAAAGCCATGCTACTGTTGACCCCAACTATCAAGAGATATCTCGGACCTCGTAGAAATTTATGCTAATCAGTGTCTACATCTAAGTTTTTAACATTAAATTAGTATGTTATCCATTACACTGTAAAATTGCACTTCAAAGTTATGTTTTAATAATTTCCATAATATTATAACATTAGAAAGTGGTGTTCATCATTTGGAATCGTAATTTGCGTGAGGGCTGTGATATTTCCCGGGTGCCCAAACCGAAACAGGTGGTTTTCTTAGGATGCCACACCCAGAGCCTTTGACCTAAGGGTCTGATCCACAAGGCAGTGGAGCATCTTAAGGAGATGCAGTCCCATGGTAGTCGGTGACTGACTATTGGTTCATGCGCCATTTGTTCCCTCAGGATTCTGGAGCCCATGTGCACCATTGGTTCGGAATCCAGGATTTCTAACTCCCCTAGATGGATCCTCCATGTCCACCAACCCGGTTAAAACGCAGGACATTCGCTTTTCGTCCTCTGAATTACGTAAACAACACACGTGGCACGAGAAGGCAGTGAGTAGAACTTCCCTGGCAGTGGCTGTATGCATGTGGCTATGTGAGAGCATTTGGAGAGGGAGAGTGCACTCTCCCCACTCTCGGCCATACCAGAGCATTTGGGGCACCTGATGAGAAAAATGGAAAAAAATGATATCGATATGTAGTTAATCTCTCATTATATATATACTTTTGCATGTCATCCACGATAACTAAGGTATTTCTTAGACCCTATCAATTTGTTAGCTTTTAAAGTTTGTACATCTTTTTTAAAGTATATGTTTGCATGTGAAAATTCATCCCAAGTTATCAAATTTCATTCAGTGATTGCTTCTAGTTCAGTGTAATTCACTGTAGAAAAGATTGCTTAAAACAAAATTTGAATGTGAGACTCATTTATTGGAGAATTAGTTATAAACACAGAAGAAATTCAATCATGCTGCAAATTGAGGTATTTTGATATAGTTGTGTTCTTTGAGCTTGATACTGTAATCTTAAAACTTTCATTCTAATCTTCTGAATTCCTCATGTCCCTATCCTTTTTCCCTTTCCAAATTTATTTCACTGTATTATACTCCTTCAATCACATCAAACCCTAATCTTTCGCATAATGCTTATACTCTTACTACTTCTGCCACTATGGGATTTGAATCAACAACTGCATCTCTATTCTAATGTGGTATGGCAACTTGAACTGATGTATGTACGTACGTACGTACAAAGTTCTACATTGTGACTGACTGACACATTATTTTTCTGTTATTAACGACTAAAAATGCCAGTAATATAAATAACTTTAATAACTTGATTCTAGGAGTCTATAATCGAATTTCTAAAACCAAAGTCAATAGCCAATATTCATTTTGTGTTTCATTAGATTGTATCAACTAATACATGTGTAATCTAACTATAGACAGAAAAATAACTTGACTAATCATTTTGAACTCACTCTGATGGTGTGATGAACAAGAACACGACTGCAGACAATCGAATGTATTTAAGCACAAATTACAGACTATTTCACTAAATTCTGTTAACCATACAGCAAACAGCGAATTTGTTAACTATCAATCAATTGTCTCAATCTTCACTGTTCCTTCTGTAAATATCAATCCATCTTCTCTGATTTCATTGTTCATGCATTTTCCTATCCATTGCACTTCGTTCCTGTTCTTTCCTTATCGATCTTCTGCCAAAATACATTCTATCTGACCATCACCATATACTACTTATGTGGATATCAGTAACCCACACCACAATGGTGGTAAAACAATTCTTTTTTATCATTTAATTTAGAATGAAATCGTTTGTCGAACGTTAAAAACATTTCTAACCTTTTTTCACTTCTTTTTCTTGTAGATTATTAAAACAATTGAAGAGAATCGTGTATTTTTCGGTTCATTCGGTGGGGGGTTCCTAATTGCTATTTCATTTGCTTAGTTTAATCTCTATCCAGTTTTTATTTTTCAATGTTGTCGTATATGTTGTTAAGCTTCAATTGTTTCAATTTAATAATCTAAGTTTTTTCGTCAAATACTGTCGTATCAACACATATCTTTGTGTCTGTAAATAAAGTACATATTCTCTAGCTCTCATTCTCTCTTTATTTATATATATTTATATTGTACTAAAGATACTACTTCTTAAAGTTATTATAAGTAGACTAGTCATTACTTGATACTCATAACAGGGATTGTTTTCGATTTTTCTTTTCATGAATTTTATCCCTCTTTTCAAAGTATGTTTTTTTCTTCTAAACACGTTGCATATCTCTCTATATGTAAACAACACATATAGTATAATATACTTAATTTAGATAAATGGATTTGTTCTCATTTCACTATTGTATTGTTGTTCTTCCCTGATTTATGTATACTTTTGTCATACACAGAGTATTAATGAGCTGTTTTTGATACTAACTAGTTTATGCTAGTTTATTGTTTTAAATGTCTATACACTCATTGTAAGCAAAGATGAATAGAAGCTTGCAGTGGAATTCAGGGACTCGTCAGCTGGATGTACCTGCACCTCAGAGTTTATGTTTACTCTGAGACTCGAACCCAGTACCTTTCGCGTCAAACGCCATCACGTTATCCACTCGGCCAGTGAGTCCTGATAGCCACTTACTTGTGCAATCGGGTGAAGTTTAAATTCATTTAATATTACTTATTTGAATCTTCCCATTGATGTTAAGGACTGCAACTGGTCTTTCTCCTATTGGCATATGTGCATACTATGCGTATTGCCTCGATATAACCTTAATTCATAAACATTATAAGCAAAGATGAACAGTGGCACAATAGGCGACCTACTTGAACATCTGAGCCACCTGTCCCTGTCATCTAGGTATTTCAACAAGTTATCTAATTCTGTTTGTTTTAATACATCACTATGAATATTAATCGCATAACCTATTGAGGTGCATTTCTAAAAAGTGTACAATCTTCCGCTGTACAAGTTACAAAAGTCTCAATCAAAAATATCGTGGTTATTGATGTTGATTGACTGGACTGCTAACTTATAACTAGTGAACACTCAATATTTGTCGTCAGCAACGATCAAGAAGTAAGAAACGAAAACTTGTTGCAATAGATTGTGCTGAGAATTCCATATTGTACCAAGAATATAATATTGAATAAAGCTAATAATAACAACGATAACAATGCTCACTTTATTCGAAGTTATTTATTTAAACACATAAATGTTGGTGGAAGGGGGCATCGGATATATATGCGCCAAACAAAACAATGAAAATTGAAAGAGAAAGGGGTAAGATGCATAAAAAAAGTAATGATGAGGGAACTGAAATGTGCAATCAGAAGAGGTCTCTCACTTAAGTAGGTCATAACCACTCTTTATGAAGAAAGTAGAAGGTTACAGCAGGATCGCCACTGGCTTCTATTCTGAGCTATATCTGATAACATCTCTAGCCACTGTGTAGCACCATCTCTCGGACCTCAGCCAGGGAGTCGTGAACGACCAACAGAAGCTAGCCCTTTGCAGCTTTCTTTCATACCACAACACCATGTCATACACTGACCATCTCTCCGCTCTTTCCAACCAGTTCAAGAGTCGGCAAATAATGCACGACGTGGAATTCACTGGGACGACATTCGTAGAACATGTCCAAGCCACCGAAGTCGGTGTTTCAAGATGGTGACACCAATTGGGTTGTCGTCTCTGCGCCCGAATACACGATGCCGAAACGTGTTCGAAGTTATCAAATCAAAATTTGGTAATGATAATTACAATTTCATCTGAGTTGATTATACTACTAACTTATAAACATTAGACTTAAAACTGAGTAAATAAGAGCGCTAATACTCATGATAAATATCACATATATGTGTGTATATAGTTAATAAATTACATAATTCAATATTTGAATCTCCATTTTTTTAAAGAAAGTACATTGACATTAAAAGAGAAATTGTAGAGTACGTCATTTGATAAGCGTTTTTACTTGACATTCTAATCAAAGTCGTGAATTTGTAGCACATGATTCTATATATGTATATATAGTACTTCCATTGATTTCTCAAATACAATAGACATCGCTTATATTTTTTGAGTATAATTAATCGAAATATTCACTTTACTCCTATTGTTGCTAAATATTTTCTGTATTTTCATGGTCAATCGAAGATACACCACCATGGAAGCACTGGACGTCCGTTTCGTCCTATTATGGGACTCTTCAGGAGTGCACATCCACCATCCCGCACCCGCGAGATTTGAACTCCACTGATCACTGCTTCCCACTAGACCAGTGGAGTTCAACCAAGTCTGTCGTAGAGATATCAACTCACTGATGACAATTGGTGAACAGTTGCTCAAACATCGTGGATTGATTGAAGTTAGACATTAACACTGTTGGATGCCGGCTCAGTGGTCTGTCGGTTAAGTGCTCTGGCCCGAGACTGGTAGGTCCTGGGTTCGAATCTAGCGAATGCGGGATCGTGGATGCTCACTGCTGAGGAGTCCCATAAAAGGACGGAACGGCCGTCCAGTGCTTCCAGATTTTCCATGGTGGTCTATCTTCAATTGACTATGAAAATACTGAAAATCCCTTCTGAAATATTTTCTGGAAAAAAACAACAACATGAGACTTGATATTGATATATGATGGTTGTCATGAGACTTGAAGATCAATAGTTTATTTTGAAACATTCATTGATTGTTCAGTTAATATTAAATGCCTTTGAGTCAGTCAGTTATAACGTAGGACCAGGCATATATATGCATCAATCCAAGTTCCCATACCTCGTTAACACAACAAGATCAACACCGGATTCATAGGAATAGTTAATTTAGTGCTGGTAATATATAAAAGAAAGATTGTATATAAGGATATAATACAGAAAGAAAAACAGATATGAGGGAATTTTAATCTCACGGTTTAAGAGAAGATAAAGTGTATACACCTATGCCATTGTGATCGATTCTGGCAATTGCATGTCAGTAGATGAATACTTGGTAGGGTTGCATAAAATGTAATCTATGGTAGGTTTTCATCTGGTAACATCTTTCTCATTTTCAAAGCTTATGAACTGTTTCTTCCCCCTCGTGGAGGAGCATAGGCCAACCACCAGCATTCTACAACCGTCATCACCAATCCTTTCCAGTTATTATTCATGCTTTTCATATCTGCCTTTATTTCCCAGCGTAATGTGCTTTTTGGCCTTCCTCTTTTCCCCTTCCCTTCACCATTCCAAGTTACGGATTGCCTCGTGATGCAGTTTGGTGATTTCCTCGATGTATATCCTATCCACTTTCAAAGTCTTTTCCTAATTTCCTCTTCAGCTGGAAGCTGGTTTGTCCTCTCCCATAAAACGCTGTTCCTGATAGTATCCGGCCAGTGAATGTTGAGTATTTTGCGTATACAACTGTTTATAAATACTTGTACCTTCTTGATGATGGATGTAGTAGTTCTCCGTGTTTCAGCTCCGTACAGTAGGGCTGTCTTCTTTTAGTATGCTTACAATAAAACCACCCAATCTCTGATAATATTATATTCGTATTTAATGAGTTTACATCTTTTGTTATTATTCGAGAAATTTCAAATACAAACAAGATCAACGAATTTCATTCAATTGTACATATAAAATGTAATTAGTAATGGAACTTCATTCCCTCATCTGATTAGTTTAATTGTGAAGCTTTTGTCGTCTTTTTAGACAACAATATTAGCAATAGCTTCTGATTGTAGAACACTATTAAAATTTCTCCATGTATGACTAATAGCTTGTTCTGTGTACCTTAAACATAATTGGATAATATAAACTGGGTCATTATCGATGTATCTGTTGATTGCTAATTGTTCTAAACAAACAAATTAGAACCCTCCGATTTGTACCAATATTTATGTCATTAAATCAATCTAAATCTTAACATTTCTCTAGTCAAATCTGTTCTTAATTGTTCGCGGGTGTTGATATAAACATTGATATATTGTAAAGTTTTACTGTTTATTGATATTCATACAGACGATTACCAGGGAATTCATCTAATCCAATGCGATGATATTGACAGTTTTTTTATATTTGTAGTAACACGAATCAAACTCCGCCTGTAGCTCCTCCAGGGGCTACTGCCGGTCCCAAGCCCGGGTAAAGGAGGAGGGTTGGGCATGGGGTTAGCGACCCCATCCCGTAGAAAATCAATTCGCTAAAAAAACGCTAACCAGAAAAAATCATTCAAACTCTGCCCTGGGAGTAGAAGGAAAAATGACGTCTCATGATGAAAGCCGAGTTCATTCGGAAGTCATGAGGCCGATGCACCTTCTTACAACCAGAGCGACAATTTTTATAGGTACATGGAATGTCCGGACAATGTGGGAGACCGGCAGAGTCTTCCAAATTTCTGCGGAAATGAGGAAATACAACCTGGAAGTGCTTGGAATCAGTGAAACACATTGGACGCAGGTTGGACAACAACGACTGTCTTCAGGAGAACTTCTGTTATACTCCGGTCATGAAGAAGAAAATGCCCCACATACACAAGGAGTGGCACTGATGCTGTCTAGAAAAGCACAAAATGCACTTATAGGATGGGAATCTCATGGACCAAGGATCATCAAAGCCTCCTTCAGAACAAAGAGAGAGGGCATTACAATGAACATCATCCAATGCTATGCGCCGACCAACGACTACGATGAAGACGCTAAAAACCAATTCTACGATAGGCTGCAGTCAATCTTCGAGAAGTGCCCAACCAAGGACCTGACCATTCTAATGGGAGATTTCAATGCCAAGGTTGGAAAGGACAACACTGGATACGAAGACGTCATGGAACGACATGGACTGGGAGAAAGGAACGAAAACGGTGAGAGATTTGCAAACCTATGTGCCTTCAATAAACTGGTCATAGGTGGCACCATATTCCCACACAAAAACATACACAAAGCCACTTGGATTTCACCGGATCACACTACACAAAAT